AGCAGATTGAGGTAAACACCCTGCATTTCAAATGTCAGGGGTTGTCAATGAGTTTTGACCTTTCGCCTCATATTCCCATCCCCTCCATATCTTGCCACTATTTCCTAATGTTTCCTAATGTCCTTTTGACTTGAAATTTGATTTTAAAGGTCCAGTGTGTAACATTTAGGAGGATCCATTGTCAGAAATAGAATATAATGTTCATAAGTATGGTTTCATTGGGATATAATCACCTGAATACAGGAATCGTTATCTTTTGTTACCTCAGAATGAGCCTTTTTAATCTACAGATGGCGGGTCTCCTACCATGGAGTTTGCCATGTTGAACTGCCATGTTTCCACAGTATCCCAGAAGGGACAAACCAAACACTGGCTGTAGATAGGGCCGTTCATGTTTTTTGCACAATTCGCAGATAAGTTTAGTTTCTCCTTCGCACTTGGAAGCGGACGGTGAAAATGAGGCAGCTGCAATCTGTAACTACACCACTAGATGCCACTAAATCGTACACACTGCCCCTTTAATTCAAAGTGTGTTGGAATTTCCTATATATTACAGTTTATGCTGATGATTGTTGGATCCTTGCTGTCCAACATAAACAGTCATGTAAGATATCATAAATGTCGTAAACACAAGCCTAGATAATTATAGATAGACTGGGAGATTTGTTGAGCCGGAATTATACTTTCTTTGTCCATGAGTATGCAAGGGTCCGCATGACGTATATTTTGTCATCAGAACATGACCTAAAGTCTCTGTGTGGACATCCGTGTGCCTCCAATTAGTTGTGACCATGTGTGGAACACATCCTCCAAGTGGACTGGCCAAGTAGTACTAATAGAACTGCTGTGTGGGCGTTGTTTCCACAGCTGTCCATTTTGGAAGTACATTGAGGCCGTTAGACAACCTCTGGCACAATCTTTCACCTGTACATTGTGTTTCACTTCAGACCACTCACCAGTGTTTCTGTTCTTCTCTCAGGTCCTGATTCCTCTGACTCGCTGCAGTTCCCATAAAGAGACAATTCAGGGACAGCTGAAAGTCCGACACCCCGGCCTCTACACACTAATCTTTGACAACTCCTTCTCACGGTATGTAACTCCTGACATCACGCATCCCGATTCTTCCTCCTAGTGGTTTTAACTCTTACTGCCTTTGCCTTCATTTCCTGCCACTACTGGGCATATGTGTGCGTGCGTGCGTGTGTGCGTGCGTGCGTGCGTGCGCATTTGGCCTTCAAACAGGCTTCCTGTTTTGCCTCAGTGTCTCGTTTCAGTTAATGGGATTGCTGTCCTCTGATCAGAAATTTTCTTCCAACAGTTTTATCTCCAAGAAGGTCTTCTACCATCTGACCATGGAGAAGCCCATAATCTATGATGGAAGTGACTTTCCCTGAAGCGGAATCATGCACACTCCCACAGAGGCATCAGCATGATGTCACAAATACATCCTGATGTCAATGTGGCAGCTCAAGGGAGAAGAAGAGATGGCAATTCATTGACTGTTTGTTATTCATTTTACTTTTTTGCTCTTTTTTCCCCCAAAAACCTGTTTTTACCCAAGTATTTTATGTTTTAAAAACAATGTCTGTATTATTTAACTCTGTGGTGTTAATCTTTTGAGGTGTTTTAACTGTGGCCTACGTGAAATTTTTGTCAACAAGAGGAAAGTGGTTTATGTTTATGCAAGTTTTATCATGTGTTTAAAAAAATATACACCAAGTAATTTAGATATCTTTAGTTCAGCTAGGGTTAAATTAGTAAGGTGCTCAGTTAGAGAAATGTGGAATTTAGTTATTTCATCCTGTAATTATGGCTTTTTTGTAATTTTGTTTTTTCAGATTTCAGTTTCGCCTCTGTTTTCCCAATTATGCTGTTATATTAGGGAACGTGGATCACTGCAATACTAGTAACACCATCTGTACGAAATCTGATAAGACTGTTGGTCAGACGACAAATATTTATCTGCAAAAATTGCCTATTAAGACCCAATATTTTTGAAATTTACAAAATCATGCATGGCCAGTTTAAAATGTTTGAACTGCTGTGCAATATTATATAAATCAAATGGTCAAAAGAAGGAGAGGAAGTGCAGACAAGTAGTTTGCCGTGGCTTGTTTATGAACTGACTTGTCTGAACACTATGTTTGCACTTTGCCAGTGCAGGAAGGAAACAATGGAGAAACTAGTAACTGGCCTAGAAAAATACAGTTTCTGTTTTGATAACAAAGCATACTGCACTTTGTGCAAATCTCAGGAGTGGGACATAAAATTGACCTCCAGTGGTATCATGTCCTGATTTTGTATTTTTGAAAACTAAAAAGAAAAGAAAAATCACCATCTGACTTTCTGTGCAAGGAGACCGACCTACAAACCAGCTTTCTCCATCCAGTTTAGAGGATTTAATTAAGCGGAGTGCCTGTACTTTCACAGGCTGACTTAAAGTTTCATTACAATGACATTCAGTTAAAGCATATTAATGGCTGTCAGCTAATGATCTACTGTACTTTAAAGTGCCTATTAACTCTAATTGCCAGGGATTAGTTTGCTTTAGTAACCGTGTATTGTACTTAACCACACAGAACGTGACGCTTGGTATGAATTGGTAATATTCCGAAAAAAATTTATTTGAGTGACATTTAAATCACAATATGCACAATATCATGTATTTCAATTTAATCAGTTGCAATGATTTTTCAATTTGGATTTCATTTGAGTCTTTTTGTCATATGTTAGATAATCCTCTGCACTGCACTCTGGTCAAATGGATTGAATATCGTGTGCTGTTTATTGTGTTTTTTTTAATAGCAAAGCAATAACGAAAAAGTGAGCTTGGTCACTTTGGGACACAACCATTCACTACTTAATGAAGTAAGGGCTTATCTCTGCTGCTTTTGTAGGGATCTGTTTGCACTTCACACTCAGATCTCTTGTATATTTTTTGATGGGTGTAAATTGGTGCAATTTATATGCAAAGCCTCATATTTTCTCTACAAAGCTGCACTTTGTGATAATTATTTTATAAATTCTTATAAGCAATATTAAGTCTGTCAAGTTTACATTACGTTTTTCAAAGAATTCACACAGGGAGAGATTTTTTTCTACTTGCTGTTTTTAAAGGATCATTTTGAAGAAGTAAATTGCATGAATCATTCTCAGTGTAACTTGAAATAGACCTGTCAAACATCCAGTAAACATGAATAAAATGTGAGGGTGATGATGCCTCTGACATCCACCAATCTATGTGACTTAATGTTTGACAGTTTGGAAACATCAGAACAACAAGATCAACACATTTCTGCGTCACTCCTTCAGAAATCTGACATGAGCGAAGACGTGAACACACAAACACACAAAGTGTTTCCTCTCTAACAAAACCTCCTACCTAAATTTGGAAAAATCAGAGGGGGCGTAGAGGGGGTCTGTAGGGCAAAAGCTTTTTATGATTCAGAAAAAGCCTTCTGCCATAAACCATGAAGGCAAATATCTCCTCTGTCAGGTCTATTTTGATACAGTACAGCTGTAGCTGGAGACACCACTATCACGTCCTCTGTATTTTACCTCAGGGAAGGTTTAATAGTTCACTGTGTATCATTATTGGACACCAGGTGTAGAAATGGCCCACCAGGATAATACTTGGTGAATTAGTTGATTTTGTTCCCCCCCTCATTGTGCTGATGTCAGAACCTGTTGTGTTAATGATCTTATTAGAGCTGAAAAAATAGCTGATTAATTAGTTGATTAATGGAAAATGAATGTTTTAATTTGTCTAGCACAAATGCCAAATATTGGATGGTTTGTATTACTTTATTAATCCCACAACAGGGAAATTCCCTTGTGACAGCAGCAATTACGTAAAATAAATGAATAAATACAGATATAAAAAAAACTATGGTTAAGTGGTAAAGCTATGGTATGGTGGTAATTTGAAAAACAGAAACTATAACATAGATCAAGTGTTGTAGAGTCTGACAGCGGCAGGGATGAAAGACCTTCGGAACCTCTCCTTCTTACACCGTGGGTGTAACAGTCTGCTGCTGAAGGAGCTACTCGGGGACCCCACAGTGTCATGTAGGGGGTGAGAGGTGTTGTCCATGATGGATGTAGGCTTCACTAACATCCTCCTTTCACCCACTTCCTCTATGGAGTCCAGAGGAAAGTCCAGGACAGTGCTCGCTCTCCTGATCAGTTTCTCAAATGTGAAGGTGTGCTGTTCTTTTTTAAATAACTCTGGGGGACTGTTGATTGGACAGGGGAAAAAAAGCTATTTGAGGACTTCACCCTGGGGATTAAGACTGGTTGATTGATTACTTGAAGCCTAGATCTTATAAGACTTTATAAGACCTAGTCTTTTTTTGGTGTAATTGAAATTAAATTGCCCTGTATGCATTTCAATTCAATTTTATGTAAAAAAAAACAAACATTAAACATAAAAAAAAATTGAAAGACCTGTTTTTCCACAAAATTTACGAATTAAAAATGCACAAAAATGTCTTCCATCAAAGCCAAATAACTCAGTATTTCACCTGTCACTCCTTTAAGAGTGTAAAGTGCACGTTTAGCCTGATGTCTATGACCAGATGTAGTGTGTGTGTGTTTGGCGACACAGTCAGGCTCAGAAGAGCAAAGGGATGAATCTGACCTAACAGCAGGAGTGAGGGCGCGAACACCCGCTCAGCCTCAGCTGTAAATCTCACCGGCCGAGCGAGGAGCTGACTCTTACCTTCAAAATAAAACAGAAACGTGCCTCTTCACAATCGTGCAGCGCGTGCTTAATTAGACAGTTGGTATTCGAAGCACTTCTTTGCGAGGCTATAAAAATCTGTGGAGAAAAAAAATGTTGTTACAGAACCATTTTTGTACCTATAGTTCGTGAGTTAGGTTTTTATTTTGAAAATATGCACAGGAAGTGGTACGTTTTTACCGTTGCATGCTTGACAAGTGTTGTATTTCCACCTAGAGAGGGGCTCAGCCTCAGCATCCCGTCCTGCAGGAGTGTGTGTTGCAGTCTCTTTGAGGAGAGCTGGACTGAACGGAGGATATAGCGACAACATGTCCTGTCTCCACATCAGACGGATTTTTCTCACTCTGTGTTTGGCTCCAACTGTGAGTGATTTACTTTAACTTCACCTTTGTGGGGGGAAAAAAAAGATGAATGAATGTTTTTGCCATGCAGAAAAACTTGATGCTCTCTTTAACTGGACATTTTCAGAACTGTTTGTGAGAAGTATTCATGAGAGATGAATTAACACCTTATTTACACACATATTTGAGGCTGGTCGAAAAGAAAAACTGAACAAAACAAAATGCACACAACTGAAACAGATATTCTGTGTCATCTTTTCCTTCTGCATAGACCTGTATGTTACTGAACATATGAATGATGTGTGGTATTCAGTTTACCTTCAATCAGAACAGGACACAGTGCATCTGTCTGCAGGCACCTGATGTCCAGCTGTTTGCTTCCTCACATTGGTTCAAAGTAATATTCTTAACATTGTTCCGTGTGTGTATCATGTATCATTTTAATGGAGATTTACTGTGTGTGTGTGTGATGGATCGTGTGTGTGTACTATATGTGCATATGGGGTGTAAATATAGGCTGTACATATAATAAATATACATATATATATATATATATATATATATATATATATGTAGTCAATAAGTTACTGGTTCTTGCTTCCAAATGAGAGTTTTTATTGTTTTTATTTGTCTTACATTATAATAAACTGAATATCTTTGGCCTTTAGACTGTCAGACTGATAGCTTTTATAGATTTTCGTAGACAAAAATAAGAATTATTTGCAGCCCTATTGCACGTTATTGCATTATTGTTATATGTGACCTGCTATTATTTTAGTATTAGACTACTTGTACTCTGTAATTCACATTATGGAGATGGATCTGTCTGTGTATTAGGATGACTGTAAGTTCTGGTCCAGGTTACGTAGAAGAGTCAGCTAAATAGGGCACCACAATTAATCGAAATATTGTTAAAATCGCAATTTGGCCAAGTGCAATATGCAAATTGTAGAAGCTGCAGTTGTTTTGATAAAAGTAAAACGTCAGCTCAAACAGCATTAAGTACTGTAGTGCTGCAGAGATGCCATGGCCTACAAATCTAAGAAAACATCTCTTTGGTACTACAGACCTCAACAAATGTCCCATCATCATGATTTTTGTATTTGTTTCAGTGAAAATGAAAATTGTGATGCAAAAATAATTATCCCCACTAATTGTTAATCACATCGCAATTGTGATATCTGTCAAAATAATCACAGCATGGGTTTTTTTTTTTACCATATCGTGTAGCCCTATCATGTAGTGCAGGTGAGATGCAAGTATGTGAGTATATATGTGTATTCTGTTTGTACATTCAAAAATAAAACATGTAATATTGGAATATATATGCATGCACATTAGAGTAGCTTTATGAAGAGGGATGAAGAGCAAAGGAAATTTAAATTCAATAAAACTGGAACTATTTCCATTAGACTATCACTCACACACAAAAACTGTCAGACTCCACAAATATAGTAGGGTCCTGGTTTTTGGACCCCATGGACATAGTGAAATGAGCCCACGCACACATGAAGACACACAATTTGGAATATGTTACAGTGAATTCACTTTATTGAAATCAAGAAAGTGAAAATGAATAAATTTTTTTGGTTTTGTTTTGTTTGCTGACTATTTACCGCCTACACCATCAATTTGTCTCGGTCAATCAACTGTGAAGAAGCAAGACAGCCAACAAACTGCACACACGTATGTCCATTCACACACATCTTTTTTTTTAAATCAACAGCTTTATAGGTTATTATTACATGGCCACCTCGCTAATTTCCATCACGCAATAGAAATAGGAGAAGCAGGCAAACGGTGGTTTGATGATCAGTGTGGCAGAGAGAGAATGGGAACAGGGCAGACACTCATCACTGTGTTCCACTTCATTCTTTTCTCTTTCACTGCTCAGGACTGCAGAGAATTATAATGAACTCCTGGGGTCCATAAAACACACACACACATGCACATTTCAAAAGAAAACAGTCACTAAAAAACAAGACTGATGGTAGCTGGTCTCTTTTGAACGTTCAGGTATGATTGAAATTTTGCACCTACAAAAAAGAAAAGAAAGATTAAAAAAAATGAACTGGTCAATTTTTTGAGGCTGCGTGGTAAAAAAGTCCAAATATGGATCTTATGAACCTGATTCACCCACATGCAGCCAGCAGATGGACTGTTTGTCTGGTTATTCACTTTTTTGCCAAGAGATTGTTGAGAAGATACATACCACACATGCCTCCATGATAAGAGGCTAATGTTGCACCCAGCAACAGAAGGCAACAGCTAGCTTAATATCTGGCCTTAAAACCTTAAATTGTCCTTTTTACACTTGTTATTTTTATGGATTAAACAAACTAGATAACTAGTGGGCTTTAGTCGTACTGGTAGGAAGATTTCATTAGCTTTGGACGGAGCCAGGCTAACTATTTCCCTGTTTCCAGTCTTTTTGCTAAATGCTAAGCTAACCAGCTAGCTCCAGCTTCAAATCCAGAATACAAATGTGAGAGTGCTATCAATCCTTTCATCTAACTCTCAGCAAGAAAGCTAATTGGTGACATCCTTGAATGTCTTGTTTTGTCCACACCTCAATATTCAGCTCAGTTTCCTTCACAGTCATTTTGACATTTTCTAATGAATTAATTGAATATCAAAATAGTTGCCAATTAATTTAATAGTAACTAATTGATTGAATGTTGCAACTCCAGTAACTAGCATATTTGCCAAAATGTCAAACAGTTCCTTCGATATCTGAACTTCAGAGACTGGCTGTGTTTGTACTTTTTCTGATTGACTGAACGTGTTTTTTATTTTTATACTGTGCCACAGTACCGCTGCAGAAGCTTAAAGTGCATCTCATTCGGGGTTGAAAATAGAAGGCAACATGTGCAAAGTGAGCCCAATCCAATGGCCCCTTTTTGGGTAGTTAGTGGATAATGGGCTTCACCTCTCAGAGAACATTTTTACAGCGGACTGCACGCTAACCTGGTAGTGTAAGGGGCCTTTGGCTTTGCATTTAGTTCATGGCTCATATTATCCAGACTTATCTCATGCAGCTCCTCCATCTATAGTTCTACCTCTGTTTCTGTCTCTTAAATGCAAAACAGTGTCTCCCTCTATCTCATCATGCAGCTGAAATGCATGAGCATGTCATGCACCCTCGATGCTCATAAGTCTTGACTCTGGCTTTATTCCTCACCCGCTGCCATTCAAAGCTTTGTTCGTTTCCTCTGAACTGCACACCGTATGTAGAACCAAATGTCTTCACAGCATCCCCTTGCATATAAACAGGGAAGCCATGTGTGGTACATGACCCACATCTGACATACAGTTTGCCATTTAGCTGCATTTGTGTAGTGTACATTATGGTAACATGTAAGTGCATATGTCTGTCTGCTTTGAATATAAATGCCCTAACTCTGGCAGTGTTCCTCCCATTATAACAATACGACCAGTTTAGCAAAGAGCAATATTCCACTATATCTGCATTATACGGTTCCCCCCTTGAAGCACACTTAACGCAAACTCTGATTGTTGGAATATTCGCAAGAGGCAAGGTAAATGCATCCTTCGCCTGCCTTTGAACAGGCAGTAATTGCTGCATAAATTGCTCAATAACACCTCTCATTAGATTATTAGCATTGCATTAGGAACAAAGAGGACTGACAGCAATTTGTTTAGGTTGCTTCCATCACGTCCATTCCTCATTGATGTGGGGACAGATTGTGTTGAGAGCTTGCATTTTTGTTCCTACAAGACAATGGGGAGGAACATTTTCTGAACATTTCTGTCCAACAACTGTCAGGAGGATTGTGTTCAATTCCAACTAGTTTTCTGTATAGTGTTTATTATGTAGGTGTTTTTTTGACACAGTCACTAAAGTGGTTTGTTATTCTGGACGAACGCAAGCGACGGCTTTTTTCTGAGAATCCCATTATTTGTGCGTGTGTGTGTAGGTGAGATGGCGAACAAGTTGACAGTTAAGACACACAATGAGGGGAAAGGGCTCAGTGATTGCGTTGGAGAAATAGAAATGAAAAGTTTTGGTCCGGACCAATTTCACCTATTTCATCTATTTTCAAATATATCCTGATGAAGTTCTGATTGGATTTGCAGCCTTTTGGATTTAAATTCTTCAAATGCTCTGGCTTTGCTTTTGATGAGAATCTTAAAGGCAGACAGTTTTCTTGTACAAAGCACCTGTTCAAATAGCTTGATTGAATAAGAAGATTAGATATCTTAATATCTACAACTGACACTTCATGAGAATATTTATCAGTGTGATAAAGAAATGAGTAAATCCCTGTTTTCATAGGAAAACTCATGAATCCACTATCATCTTCTTTTGCTTAAATTAAAATCTGTACATTTTGCCATTTGCCATTACACGCATTTTATTCTCAGTTTCCTATGTGATTTTAACGTTTCACATATGGTGCTACAACCTTAAAAATAGTGCTGTTCTCGAGTCCGGTCTCAGACTTGAGACATTTTTTCTATTGTCTCAGACTTGTTGGTATTTGCACTTGGACTTGGCCATTGGTCTCGCCAAATTTTTTTTTCTAATGTAACTTCCTCCTTCAAAACAAAACCATTGACTGAGTGCACTTGTTCAGAAATTAGGTATTGGTTTAATTCAGAATCCATCTAGAACGGGCTTTGACATTGGCCAATCACTGTCACTTGCAATTGTGTGCCTGGCTGGCCAAACTCAATAGCTAAAGCATTATTTTCTCCTGTCTTGGTCTTGCCTCAGTCTGAACTTGTGCTTTGGGCTCTGTCTTGACTAAGTCTGGTCTTGGACTCAACAAAGATGGTCCTAGCTACAACACTGCTAGAGAGTCAACCCTGAGTTTGTCACCAGTGTTGAATTATAATTATATATTATATCTATGCAAGGCATACTTAGTCATGTCATTTCATGAAATGGCTCCAGGTGGGTTTGTGCTTGTACGGGTGCAGATGTTGCTGTGTGCCCCATCAGAGAAATGATAGATCTTTTTAATGGAAATGTTTATAACACACAACCAGCGCCTCTTATTGGATGACACTCAAAAAAGTAGTGAGTGGGGGAAACCACAGCCCTCCAGAGGGAGTGTTTGTGGTCTCAGAGGATTTTTGCCTCTGAAGCTTTTTTTCATTATGAGTTGCACTTGTCTCCCCTTGAGTCTTTTAAAATGAGTTGGAACTAAGCCGAATGAAGACAAAAGTCTGTGCAATATGCCTATCAATAACAGAGATTACTTTTTTTAAGGCTGTGTCTGCGACACGTTGTGTTGTCCTCTGTGTTGTATTGAATATGCATTTTCAAAAACAAGGGGAGAGACTCAAACAGCAGCCTCAAAATTACGTAGCATTGGGAAAACAAAATGCAAAACATTCTCAAAAATTTTGAGTAATTTTGGAAATGGAGGCGCGTCATGATTACATGGCTGCCTGTAAGTACCTCCTTTTTTCTCCTTTGGTCTTGCTTTTGTCTGCATTTGCTCATCTCTTCTTTTTGACACACACTTCTCTCATCTCTGCTGATATCACATTGTGCCTTTCACTATAGGCACTGTAACTAGACAATTCTGTCTTCAAAGCCCATGCAAAAACATTTAAAAGCTTCTATAATATGTATAATAATTTTTTAAAGATATTTTTCTTCTTTTGTGGCACATTCTGGGCCAGAATGTGCAATGTTTCAATAACAGCATCATTAAAGTCTAACAATAAACTGGGGGCTACAGTAATCAGCATGGAACAAAATGTGTAAAAGGAAAGTTAGATACTGTACTTCAGTAGCATGCAAGACATGGACTGTTGTATGTTGTCAAAGCTAGCAAGACAGGACCCAGCCTGCTGCTCTGACCTTTACATTCAGGATCACTTAAGTTCACCAGCAGCATGAAATCAAAATAAAGGACACTTGAATTTAACCCAGACTAGTTTAGATACTATCACCATCAACCTCCTCAGTAAACACAGAGATCTAATCTCTCATGTTAATGCAGGCTCACCTCAGTTTTGACATTCCCAGCTGGCGACTGGCAGCATAATGTTGATTTGCTATGTGGGCTCAATGAAAGTATGACATTTTATAGATATGAATCTCAGCATAAGTTCAGTCAGGAAGACCTTCTCATTATGCCTCATTCATTCACAATCCTCACTCTCCTTTCTAATCAGCTATGTGCGTTTACTCTTTCAGTTAATCCAATCAGACTTTACCACAATCTCCTCCAGCCAATCATGTTGCTGCTGTCAAACTTTAAATCTGTTCTCTTCTTTGTTGCTTTCAGCTGTCATCCCTTTCACCTCCAGTTCATCCTATCCAGTGCCCAGGTTGAACTCATCAGAAGTGCACTCCTCATCACATCCAGATCTTCAGCATTCTCTTCATTCCTTCATCACCACTGCCACAACCACCACCGTCTAGACTCCATTACGTGGTGTCCTATACTAATCACGGCTTCACCAACCCCTTTACATACAAAGCACAATGGGATCTAATGAAATGGACTGTGTGATGCTCACTGAGAGTCTAACACCAGACTACGGAACAGCATTGGATGTTTTAAATGCAGTTCGGGCCCATTTTTGCCCCCTTTTTTTTTGGAATTCCTTTTATCTGGAAACCCCTCACCAACAATGGACATTCTGCCAGACACAAACATTACATAGTCATTTCCATACTGTGCATTAAACCCTTAGTAAGAAATGCTTCCTTAAAATGAATCCTTCTGTCTCTACTGCTCTCATTGTCAGCAACGACATCTGGCGCATAAACCTCAGTGTTCAAAAGCAAATTACATTCTGTCCTGGCACAGCACAGGAATGTTTATGCATTCTCACTGAAGCTGTATTATGTGACCTTATAACCTCTTTATACCCTCTTTTATACAGCAACTACTCACTGGTACAGACCGAGGAGTAGTCGTAAGCTTGTCGTATGAATCGAAGAGCTGACTCTTCAAGCTGAGAAAATTTAAAAGTTCATCAGTGTGACCAAACAGTTGTTGGTTCAACTTAATATCATAAGCTTATTAAACATGTTTTCTAAAGTTACTAAACTAAAATGTCAAATTGTTCAATCAGTTTTGAAGTACAGCTTAAAGTAATAATTACCACAGAGTCTTGAAAATCCTATCCTCTTTTGGTGTATACTTCCTCCATCCGCTTCCTACGTTACCCTTCAGCATCCACCTTACATCATTCCATTTCTTTCCCAGAAACAAGATATTCTTATTTATTTAAGACTGAGATAAATGTCAGTCAAATGCAAATCCACTTATTCTCTTTTTATTTGACATCAGGAAACGGAGGGATATGTAGGGGCAGACAAACAGAAGAATCTCTGAGCCGCATTAAATGGATGGAGTGCGGAATTGTCAGAGTCCATGACAATCATCTCTGTCCTTAGGGACAAACTCATTTAATGAATTTTCCTAGTGTCCCCTGTGTGTGCTATAGTGAAAGATAATTTTGCTTAATGCCATAGGTGCATTTTTTTCCAAAAGGTTAGCCAAGTGTTTTAGTGGGAAAGCATTTCCTGCTAAAGGTAGGGCATAAAGGCAAAATGAGTCACCGGCCTTTAAAAAACTGCCATGCATTTTTTTCAGACACATGAAATGCCTTTGTCATGCAATTACAGACTGAGTGGTCATTTTGTTCTTTTTCTTGAATGTCTGTATATATCTAATAGCCCATTCCGTCCTTCTCTTCTCCTTTTCTTCCTTACTTCTTCCCTACCTCTAGGCTTTGTCGAGCCTGCACCCTGAATGTGAGTTCATATTTCAGCTGGAGAAAGAGAAGCGTAACTGCCTTCAGTACATTAAAGAGCAAGGCAACAGAAGCTCAGAAGGTGTGTTTTCCATTTTAAAATCACCCTGCAGCAGTAACTCATATACATTCGTACGTGGTTGTAGTTACAATATGAAATATACCACAAGTTCACATTAAGAATAAGAGTCTAAGCTGGAATAAATGCCTCACAGAGAATCATCAGATGTCAGGGCAGATTCTTGATGGCGTCCCAACTGCAGAATAAAAAAACGCACAGGGTGATCTATCATTGTGATGCATCTGTAGAGGAGACCGTTAAGGATAGTTACATAAGGATTTATGTGTGTAATCTAGCTCAAGATAAAGGTCTTGGTTGGGGATTTACAGTACTTCCTCATTCTTGTCTTAATACAATTTAAACAGAGGCGTGTTATGGCTTTGAAGAATGTTGTTGTGGCTACTGTGCATGATACACCCCATTTACCTCTACTGTACCTCCATGAGTATATATTTAAACTGTGTGCATTACAGGCCCCGATGTATGACTGTGCATATAAATGTGTTCATGGAATAGGAATCTTCTGATTAACTACCTTGAGAAACACTTACCTTTATTTTTAACCCTCTTTCTCCTCCTAAAAGTTTGTCAGCCATTCTGGGATGCAGTTGTCTGCTGGCCTCATGCAGTCGTGGGGGAAACAGTCCACAGACCTTGTCCTGCAGTCTTCTCCCTCTTCAGAAACAACACAGGTGCCTAAAAGATCACACTGTGAAAGAGGTGGCGTGTAGGGTGTTTTATTCTAAGACAATGATGTTCACCCGTGGGTCAAAATTATAAATTAAATTATAAATTATTCTGATGAAAAGTAAAGGGTGTTTTTCATCCTGATAATTTCACAAAGTAAAGTTTATTTATTTATTAATTTATTTGTTCATTTATTTACTTATTTTTTATGTTGAATTGGACTCCAGCCAGCCCTCAGTGCTCAGGCTTGCTAGATTGTCACAGGAGAATGCAATCAAATTAGTTTTTTCGTAACAAGTAAATTTGGGCGTGTTTGCAGGTTGTGAAACCCATACAAATGATTTACAAAATGAGCAAACAAGAAGTACCTTGGCCTTATGTGTTTGTGAGGATAAATAACAGTGTCTAAACAAGAATAAGAGTCTACAGTCATGCTAGTGGACCTGTAAGGCTATACAAAGTATTACAATAAATCAGTTAAATTTGGGTTTAATCTACTTTTGTTTGGTTTTTAGGCACTTCCATAAACTCCTAGTCAGATATATAATTGCTTTCAGTGAAATCGAAAATTTCCAGTTCACAGTTTTTCTTTACAATGTCGGAAATTCATAATTTCTCATGCTTGCTTCTCACAATGGTGCCATGCCATCTTTATGATGACCCATTATTTCGAAACCCCAATAGTCTGAAATATGTCCCATTAGACCAAAAGCCCATTTGTCCAAAAGCCCAAAAACAAACGGCCATTGCTCTGAAGGCCTGTTGTTTTGAGAACCACACTCTGGTATCACCAATTTATGATGTATGTAACTTAGCTAAACCTAACCAAGTAGTTTTGATTCTTAAACCCAACAAAACTACGACTGTTTCACAATGTTAATCACATGTTTATTATTGTACCTGACTTTTAATCATTTCCTACATGTTCAAATACAGTCAGATATTAAGAAAGGTAGAGTAGAGTATGTATTTTTGGAAAAACTTTGGAGCAGCTTTGGAGCAGTGGGCTTTTTTGTTTTCGGAATAACGGGCTGTCGGTCAAACAGGCTTTTGTTCCAATGACAATGCTAACATAATGATGTTCTGCAGGTATAATGTAAATCACGTTGACCATCTTAGTTTAGTGTGTTAGTTTAGTGTTAGGTTTAGATGCAGACTAGATGAAAAATTAAGAAATTGCCTAAATTATTACAATTAATCCTGAGGGAAACATGACCATGTCCAGTAGATGTTTTACTGATGTGTATTTCACAGGAAAAGTGAAAACTTTGACCTGCTGGTGGCGCTAAAAGAAAAGTTAAGGAATCACCAAAATCATTAGAATACATCCTCTGGGAACCATAGATATCTGTACCAAATATTATGACAATATATAATATTTATTGTTGACATATTTCATTCACCACACTGGTGGACAGAACGTGGATTGCCATCCGAAGAGCCACGCCAACATCATAAAACACCAAACATTTATGTGAATATCGCTGTCTTTTGACACATTAGTGGATCTAATCTGAAGACTATCGTATCATAGTTGACTTTTTGATCTCATGGCCTTTCACCTCAGGTTCAGTGAGCCGTAACTGCACCAGCAGAGGTTGGTCCAGACTATTTCCACCGTACGACATTGCCTGTAGTGTGGATGATGACATTCCTGAGGTGAGTTACTATGGCGAGGCAGATAAAGAGGTCAGACTGGGGAATGGGGAACTCCAGAGGAAGAGAATTTGAAACAGGATGGGAAGCAACAGGTTGACCCCTACCCACGTATACTACGATACAAATTTCTTTTCGTGCAGTCTGTCAGACTGTAATGAAGTGAAACTGCTGTCCATATACCTACTTTTTATTAGAGATTTTATAATATATATATATATTAGTATTTTGTTAGAGTAGTAGTAGTAGTAGTAGTAGTAGTAGTAGTAGCAGGAGAGTAGAAAATAATGTCACTAGGTGCTACTGATACTTTTGCTAGGCAGGAAGTGAATCACACGTCACCTATCAGGTAATAGCTGACATTATCTTGTTTCAGAGAGAATGGTGCCTGATCGTATACTGAATAGTGTTTTTAGAGGATAACTATGTAGAAACTACTTTTGGTTCTTTACAGACCATCTTTTGTCTTGAGTTAAAAAAGAACCCTTTAAGTCTTCCAATAGAAAGGGTGGAAAGTCACTAATTATAAAGTCTGATGTTACTGTAATTAAATAGCTTTTACGTGTACTTTTTTAGGTTAATTCTGTCTGCTTAGTCCAGTCAGCCTCAAAATATAGAAAAGGCTTTCTTGCAGTTATACCACAGTCATCTCCTCAATGCAGTTGAGTCTCAAGCTTGTCTGCAATTTAGCAATTTGGAGACATTACATTCATTTTGAAGTCTGACAGCCTTTTGAAAAGCTTACAAAAAATCTTTTTTTCTCATCTTGCTTTCAGACAGAGCAATCGTACTTTGCCACAGTGAAGCTGATATACACCATCGGCTACAGCAGCTCTCTAGCGGTGCTGGCTGTTGCTGTGTTGATCCTGTTGCTCTTTAGGTAGGAACAGATCATATTGCAATAATATTGGTTGTCCAGTGTAAACATAAAAACATGATTCCAAGACACTCTTAGTCCTGGGTGTTGTAAAAAGCCTTTATTTAGCCGACTCTCACCAGTTTTGGGCCTTTGTCTAGGTCCTGTGCTGTTTGAAATGTGATACTCATACATGTTTTGACTTTTTTGTTGCTTTGGCACATTGCCACACAAATGATGCCCTAATGCTAAGTTTATTTAGGAATAGTTTGACATTTTGGGAAATATTTATAATTTTCTTGTCAAGACTTAGAAGAGAAGATTGATACCACTTCAATTTCTGTATGCTAAATATGAAGCAAGAGCCAGCAGGTGATTAGCTTAGTTTAGCATAAAGACTGACAGCAGGAGGAAACAGCTAGTCCAAAGTTCAAAAAGCCTGCCAGCCCACACCTCTATTTTTTTTTTTTTTTACTAATAAACATATTATATCTTGCTATTTAAGTATGTACAGAGTTAAGTTAAGGTTGTGTGTGGCCACTAGCTAACAGGCCAATCTAATCAATAACTCAAATAAGAATGTTTCCCAAAATGTTGGATGTTACTTTAAGGAAGAGGAGTGAAGCTGTTATACAAACTCTCTACAATGAGTTTGTATAACAGAATCGCTGAAACCCAAAATAAAATGCAAACAAAACAGCCATGAAATTAGCTGACAAGGTGTTGATGAATGACATAATTTCCCCTCTCATAATCCCATATGAGAGGGCTGGTTAGGTCCACATGGAGTGGACATAACTGGTCCTATAGTCCACTTAGCAACTGATTGACACAATGTCAAGGGGTTCCTTACCCCCGCCCACCCAGCTCTTTGGTTCACTGGATGAAAAGAAATAGGACCGTGTGAAAACACAAAACCTCTTAATTAATGGTTTGTTTTTTTCTCTGCTCAGTTGGTGTGCGGTTTCATAAATCTAGTCTGTTTATTATGAAATGATGGTCACCTAGAAATGATATTACAGTACCATTACTTCCATCTCTTTTTTTAAATTCTTATAGTATATTGTTCTGTTCCTCATAACTGTACATTTTTTATAATTTTATTTTCGTTGCTAAGAGGTTTGGTTTACCTTCTGCATTTTTTTTCTTTCTCACTTGTTTGCCCTAAACTGACACCATGCCAGTCACAAACCATGTAAACCAAGCCATTACAGCTATTAGATAATGTGTAACAATGTCTTGTAAAACTTAACTTATATTTGACATTATATCTGATGTTTTTGGTGCATAAGCAACACTGTAGTATATTTATCACATGTACTGTATGTTACCTCAACAGGAGGTTGCGTTGTGCCAGGAACTTCATTCACATCCAGCTCTTCATCACATTTATCCTGAAAGCTGTGGCGGTTTTCATAAAGGATGCTATTCTCTTCTCAAGTGATGACACCAACCACTGCACCCTTTCAACAGTAAGATAATGGCATTGAGGACAAGAGGTTCATGATTGTAATATGAAATTATTATGGGCAGATTTCCTTGTTCTCATATTTATGCATCACTCTAATCACATATGTGTCTGTGCACCTCTTCTCTCATAACCCCTCTTACGATTCACTTTTTGTCCTTCTTTCCTTTCCTGTTCCTCCTGCACAGTTTGCCTGTAAGGCCTCTGTTGTCTTCTGTCACTATTGTGTAATGGCCAATTTTTTCTGGCTCCTGGTGGAGGCGCTCTACCTCAATTCCCTGCTGCTTTCGTCTTTCTATCACAGCCGTCGATGCCTCTGGGGCTTCAGCCTGCTGGGATGGGGTGAGAAACCTTGACATGCAGTTTGCCTGACATTTGTTATGCTGAGCTGCAGTTTGGTTCCAATACAATTCAATATACACTATCCTATATGATACTTGCTCCAGACTGAGAAGAAAAGTCCTGTGCCTCTTTAACATTAGTAGGTGATAGATGCAAGGATTATAAAATGAGGGGACTTTTACATATACCTACGTTTTCACCTCGGTTGGCTGAAGGTGAGAAACTTCAGAAAAAGTAATGAAAGCCATGGTAGGTAAACGTTGGATAAACCCCTTCAGGTTAGGCTTTTTTAAATTTTTGCCAGACCATCAGTTATTGTTATTTTGGTTACATTTGAGTAGTTTTGACATTTTGGTATTTTTGGACTTTTTCATGGTTTAAAAATAATAATTATGGTGAAGGGTCTGTCTTTCTTTTCTTGCTTTGTTTAGCAGTGCAAGTATGTATGTGTGGATGTGGAAATTTTGGTTGCACTTTCTCTGCCGTTGTTGTACGACTCGCTCGGTAGCTTTAGCTATATATCTGCCTAGCCCTGTGGAAGAGAATAAAATAGATGTGTTTTATCACTGCCCTATAATTTGATGCTTCAGAGAGTGTTATTTTGTCTTGAAGTGCACAAATGCTTGCACAGTGTGATTTGTAGTTTCCATCTAACTTAAAGGTGGTTTGCAACCTAACTTTTTATTTAGAAAGCTTTTTCAATTCACATCACAGGTTTCTTTATTTGTCAATCTACAAATGAGTGTAGGACACCAAAATCATCATCCCACTGTATTATGAAAGTCGGATCAGAAGATTCAGTTTAAAATTTAAAACTTTGTCTCCATATGGTCACTCACTGAAGAATTTACTTCCAAGAACATGCTTTTTTTTAAAATCCAAACACAGTGCCAAAATAGATCACGAATACCCCTCTCATTGTGAGTGGTAGGTGTATTTTGGGTTTCTCAACAGTGAAACACATATTTTGGAGAAATCTTAATATCCTCAAAATGACTGATTTCAACCCTGTTGAGCTGAACCGTTAGATATTTATTACAGGTCTGTATTTTAAAGGAGATTCACCGCTGTCTTTAGGGACAACAAGAAGCAGACAGTCTGCCATCGGCCAACGTCCCCCACTTATTATTGTGATAGAGCCAGAAACTCTCCTGGCTCAGTGGCATCAACTGTAATTACCAAACAAACTGAATTAAAGTTTACATCCCTGCGGCAGTCACTACTAATGTATTAGATTATGTTTGTGGGTTGAACGTTTTTTCAAAAATTGTTCAAGTTGATTTCTTAAAAACTTGTATGATTAAATGAATGGGGTCACTGCCACTTCACTTGCCAAGAATGAATATAGATGTGTAGTGCACAAAGCCTCCATTCACTATGAGCTCTTGCAGAATAGATCAATTCAGATATTGGAAAAGTGTTCACACACTGGTTACTGACTAATTATGATACAACCAACTCAGTGTGTATTGATTGTATCTCACTGACATCAGTTTTGATTTTCTGCCTTTCCACAGGTGTGCCTGTGCTCTTCATCATCCTGTGGATTGTATCCAGGGTGTACTTTGAGGACACAGAGTGTGTATACTCCCACTTCCATCTCCACATGTGCAGTTACTTACTGTACAGCATATTACAACAGACTTAATGACTAACATTGTAATCAATGGGCTGCAGCGGTTAGAGCCACCACATAGCATTTTCCTAAAAGGATTTTATGATAAAAAGTTTAGGTTTTTGATAAAGAAATATTCCCTTAAGAGGGAAGGTGAGGGTAGATTTCTCATTTAATTAACCTGTTAAACAAATACTATTAATTCACCAATGTTTGTTGTTTGTTATGAGTTTTATTCTAGAGTCAGTTCAATTCTTCTGCAGACTCACGTTTCAAAATGTCTTCCTATATAGATGTTGGGACATCAACGAGGACTCGCCCTATTGGTGGATCATCAAGGGACCAATTGTTGTGTCTATAGCGGTAAATGCTCCCATTGTGCTGAAACAAACAAAAAGATTGCCTCTTATGCACCTAACAGCTTACCGATTCTAATGCAGATGATTTGTTTACTTTCCTTTTAGAGATGATGTCTGAGAAATTATTTATAAAAACGTATTTTGTGCTCCTTAGAATAGAGTGCTAAACACTGCCCTCACACCAGTCCTAGTCAATTACACACGGCTGCCCATATTGTTGCCAGGACATTCAATAATCACGTTGTTCTAAGTGACATTTGGCACAGTACCCGTCAAGGCTTTATCCCATTAAAGCTGAACATGTTTCGTAATTTTTGCATTCTTTCTTTTTTTATCAACAGGTCAATTTTATGCTGTTCATGAACATCATCAGAATTCTCATACAGAAGCTCAATCCTCGGCTGATCCAGTTTAATAACTCCTCTCAGTACAGGTAATCCTTCAGCTACAGACACAGTTGTATAGAGACAGTAACAGTGACAGTATTTGCTTTTATCAAATGTAACTTTCATCTTGTTCACATTTTCAAATACTTTCCCACTCTCTTTGATACTTTTTCACCCTGACAAGACACTTTGATGTAGAAGATGCAAGTTGTGTGGAAATCACAGTTGTGTTGACACATGACAGTGGCAATGTATAATTCATTCAGTCACAAACCACGTCTACCTTCCCACTATCCAAGGGGCTTATCAGAATTTCTAATTGAAGCAGGCTCACTAATATGCTGAAAGTGTTCAGGGACATCATGCATATTTGGATCTTATAAAAGACATACCAAAGGTAAGTTAAGTGATGTGCTTGACTTAAGTGCACCAGCTAGATGTTCTCATACATGTAAAAATCTCAGTTTCTAATATCCTCACTTTGAATCATGCACCTGCCACCAACTTTTCCTGCTCATAAACAAAAGTGATGCACATACACACACACACACACACACACACACACACACACACACACACACACACACACACACACACACACACTATCCTGTTGATTGACATCTGATGATTAGCGTGACTTCATGATACCGTCTGGAGCTGCATACAGATGAGACATGCACTAAATGACTCCCTGTGGTAGCTTCACCTCCTGCATCTTGTTTCTTTCTTTCGGTTCAACAGACGCCTGACTAAGTCCACCCTCCTCCTCATCCCTTTGTTTGGTACTCACTACATGTTCTTCAATTTTCTGCCCGACTACTTCAATGTTAACCTGCGCCTCTGTATCGAGCTCTGCATGGGATCCTTCCAGGTACGCACACACATGTAAAAACACTCAATATTTTGACAGCAATATATATTGTACATGCTCAAATACCCTGAACACGCGCACACACACACACACACACACACACACACACACACACACACCAATCCATATCATATCCAGAATGTAATCCCTTTTGCAGTGTATGTTGCAGTTAACCCTGACTGACATAGACAATATCTTGGTTAATTTTTTACATTACTGGTCTAAAACTGAAATTTGTTTAGATTATTGGATTCACTTTTCTTTATCCACTTTTAGACACATCTCATGCAGTAATAAGTTGTACTGAAATTCTCTTTTCTTACCTGCTGACAACTTACATAAACAAGACTGAGAGTCTACAGGCATGCTAGCGGCTCTGTGAGGCTGTACTTAGTAGTTCAGGACTAAGTTTTGCTAAACAAAAAGGCTGATGAGACTGATGGGTCATAAGTTTGCTGGACCAAATCTGGACAAGAGCTGGACTGAATAAACAAATCGACCAAATTCCTATAAGGTATTAAAACACTATTATATGCTTGAAAAAGCTTAACAAATAATTCTTTAATTAGTGAAAAGGGGCTAAGCAGTGCTGTGTTGCTGAGAATGTGAGCAAAGTTTGGACCAGTGTTTGCATCTGCAGAAGACAACCACAGAAAAGTCAGATGGCTTCCTGCACTTCATGTCACATGGGACACAAAATGGTTTGCTCGCCAGCTCCCCAAATCTGATTTTGTCCCTGCCCCCCTTCTCGTTGAGAATTCAAATTGATATGGCACAGCAGTGAGAACTACGAACAAAATAGTAACAACAGTGCCTAAATAGTTGTAAGACAGGCTTTGTTTATAAAAGCAATTTTATGTGGCATGTTTGTAAAGATAAAAGGAAGGACAGCGTACATGGCTTACAGCAATATATTGTGGAGATATGAAATTATATTATTCATTATTCCACTCTTGCTTACTGGCTGTGTGAGCAAAACATAATAGATAGACCTAATTTAATTCTCATTCTTCAGCCTATCAGCTCTCATTTGTGTCTGACATTTAAGCTCTCTTCACATGAGCAACCTTTTAATGATGCCGACTAGTCTTAAATGTTAAACCATCTCTCCTACAGGGGCTTCTTGTTGCAGTTCTCTATTGCTTTCTCAATGAAGAGGTCAGTAGAAGCCACACCACTCTCGAGCATTTACCATAACATATTCAACAAATCACACAGATGATTTACAGCTCTCTGTTGCATAATAAACCTGTGTACCCGGATCATATGCCAGCGAGGGGTGAGCGGTTTAGAGTTGTCAGGGCTTAAAATGGACAATAATTTGCCACTTCTCTTCCCCTCATTGCATAATGGAAGGACCCCGAGCACTTATGTAACCACCGAGACTAATGTGAGGCCAACCCCAAAGAGTCTGAGGGCAACACCAGTCTGTGTTTAATAATAATATATTACTCAGTAAACAATAACCATGTTCATCTGTTTGGTGCTTTATGGCCACATGGGTAATAATCTAATATATCTCTTATCATATCTATATCCTTTTAGAAACCGATTAAAAATTTAGGCTGTGGCTTATCAGGGAATATTGTTCTATGCCAAAGGAAATGATTTCAAATGCTTAAAAAATGTCACTGATATCCCAATAATACGCCAAATAAATACTTTAGATGACTTAATATCCAATAAAATGACTTATCATCTCTGTGAGAAGAATATATGAATGAGTTTAGTTTTCAGATTTTACCTGTCAAGAGTTTTGGGGGTTTCTTGATCCTGTTTTGGAAATTTAAGCTACAGGAATAGCTGAACAATTTGGGAAATATGCTTATTTGCTTTGTTGCAGAGAGTTAGATAAGAAAATTGCTAGCACTCTCATGTCTGTCCGTTAATGTTACATATAGGGCTACAGTTAGCAGCCGGTTAGCCTAGCTTAGTGTAAAGACAGGAAACGGGAAAGGAGCTAGCATGGTTTTGAGAGGGAAAAAAGTCTACCTACCATCACCTCTAAAACTCTCGAATTAACACAATATATACTGTTACTGTCATCTGTACAAGAACCAAAGTGTAAAACTCAATTTGCAGCTGTACAGGGGTTACGGACCTGACTATTTCTTGGCTCTGAGCTGTTACCAGGCAACCAGCATAGACTCCAGGAAGTAGCACTCCTGGCTAAGAAATACTCATCATTATACAGTGAAATGTAACACTTTAATTAATTTCTTTGCAAATTAAATGAGCTATAACTTAATGTTTAGAGGTGGTAATAGGCAGATTTTATTACAGTTGGCTAGAGCCAGGGTAGCTGTAAGAAAGCAAATAAGCATATTTCCCAAAATGTCAAACAATTACATTTCAAGGATATTATATTATATACCATACATGAGATCATTTTTTATTATAAACTAATTCCATAATGATTTAAACATAAATGTGGCCTGAGTTGCAACAGCACCATCTTACCAGTTTGCAAACAGCCAAACACAATTTTTTTTTTATGTGTATGTTTGACAGGTTCAGAAAGAGGTCCACATGCATTGGCTGAGGTGGCAGGAGCGGAGCTATGGTGTGGTGTCACCCGCTGCAAAGGGCAGCCAGATGGACACGCCCTTCTAGTGGTGTCCTGAAATGCTTTCACCCTCTTCCTATAGGACTTCTGCTACCAGAACAATCACAGCGGATTGCTTCTGTGCATGTCATCGTCTCTAATGGGCTGTGCAGTCCGCACAATACCAGTGGTCACACACCATTGAAGCCTGAGTCTGTACGTTTTCATTCCAAACTCTATGACTGATTTACTGGCTGCACTCCTTCAGACAGAAAGGAGGCAAACTTTTCCAATGGAGAATGATTCTGAAATCAGAATTATGTTTGACACACACATTTCAAGACAGATCCCACCAATGACAGATATTGCCAATTTCATAGGTATTTCCCCTGGGAGGCAGTGCAAACAACTTCAGAAAGATCATCTTCAAGATTTCCTTGTAGGCCTCACTGGTCAAATTAAAGAATGATAATTTTGATAAACTGAAGTAAGATACAATATATTGAAATATTATTCCATTTATCACCAACGCTGTAATGCAACCTGTTAAACATGTGATATTCCAGACTTTTTGTTATGACGCTGTAGCCAAGTGAAGCACAAATGACTTATCACTCAGCTGACTCACATGACAATTAAAATGAACTTTCATATTATTAATTGGTATTATAGCATCAAATTACATTAATTCATATCATATTATTAAATTTAAATTCTACTCGTGCTGAGCAGTAAAATTAGAAGCTACAGTGTGTTTTATTTTTTGGAATGAAAACCGGCACACTCTTGAACTTCACTGGCACACTGTTAAAAACCACTTTACTGTTTAAGTTTCAAGCCAGTGTTGCGTGTTGTGTTCTGTCATGTTGTGTGTGTTGTACTATAAAAGGAATCGCCACTGGAAAACATATTATTCGTTTTAATATCAATATCAATATATAACTACACTGCTCACATATTGTACAGTTCTTTCAATTCCATGGTTATATAAGTAATTACAAAACTGGATATATGATTCCCATAATTTATGTCATATAAATTAACCTGATCGACCTATTAAGATAAACGTCATAGAAAATATTGAATTACTGCCTATTTCTGCACTATCCAGAATCCTCTTGTTACAATTAAGTTTCTTCTATGTAACGTAAACATTTGCCTTAAACTAAATGTACGTATGAACTAGTCGCTGTCAGACTGTTGTTTTATAGTCACTCTTCTCTGTCGTTGCATATTTGGATGTTTCTGCTTCTTGTGCCTATCTCTGTGATGTTTTAATACCTTGTGACAGGTTTCTGAAAGTTAAAACCTCAAAACTTTTCCTCGGCTTCATTAAGGCTCTCTGCAACCTCTTTCACTAATTGAGTGAATAATCATCAGCTGGCAGCTACAAAATGTAAAATCAGTGATAAAAGCTTAAGCCATGAAAGTCTACATGGCTACGTTTAATTCAGATACAATATGTGCTGATACTAGAACCCATATGTAGTCAGTTGAGTCATAAAGGATTTTCAAGGTAAAAACAGCGTCAATCCTTAAGGGAAGCTATACAATTCATAAAAACAAAATATGAGAGTATTTTGTAAAATGTCTCTTTTGTTTCAAAAGATAAACCTTAATAAATGTTATTCTTAAAAACAGGAGCCTAAAACTTGTCAATTTGTCCTTTGTTAACCACAAGCCAACATCATGACATTTTAGGAGAGTAAGTCCATTTAAATATATTAATAGGTGTACAGAATATTATATCTCCAGTTTTATTGTTAGGTTTATTTGGCTAGCTGATGAACTGTGAATGAATATATGCACGGTCCAATAAATTATAATGGTTTCCAATGAGAAAAAAACTATTAAAACCATTATAACCCATTAGATCCGTCACATTATAGTCTGTATGGTTTTCCAGTATTTCCATTAGTCACCTGCATATCAATTATTACAGACATTTAAAAAGTCGCAGCTACAGGCACAAAAATAAACTACTGTTCTAGCACATTATAAACACATTATTCTTTACACTTGGGTTTGGTTTGCTGTAACTTTAGTGATGAATAATGAAGCTTCAACTGCTGTTTGGTGTGGGTCTCTGGAAAAGCATCCTGCAGTCATAAATGTAATCCCTGGTTCACATATTTTTGGCAAACATTTAAATGGGTTCTACTATATTTCAGAAATTAGGACAAATGACACATAATGTTTGGATATACGACATCTGGACAGGAAATGGGAATGGTAACACCAGCACTTTAACCAAACAGCTACTGTTGAGTTGCCCTTGAGCAAGGCAATAATACAATCCAGTGGAGCTGCTCACTGGTCTGCAGCAGAAGACCAGACCAGGCTTAAGGTCTTTTTTTGGAGGGGAGACCTGGACAAGATGGAAAACAAACAACAGATAAAACAATACTAAAAACAGACAATAATATTAAATATTTGATAAGAACAGACACAATTAAAGTAGGAGGCTTTTACTGTAGAGTTTATAATAGTCTTAAATTATTCCAGAGATATCACATTCATATTCTGCACACTATTCCAACTCTGTGAAATAAATTGCAATAAAAGCAGAAATATGATGGATGTTTGCAAAGAGTGTTTTTTTTAAATAATAAAATATATATACACATTTTTAACATAGTTTAACATATATTAGGAACCCGAGCTTGGAAAAGATACTCTTATGACTTTACTCTAAATTTTCTAAAGGAATGTTTATTTGGTCTTCTCACTCTGCTGTCATTGAAAGCCCCAGATGTTTGCACCATCAGGCAGGATGTCAGAGGCATCTGACACAAACAGAATGACCCTGAAGCAATCACATAGATTTAGTCAAGTACTGTACTTAAGAAACATTTTGAGGTGCTTGTACTTTACTTGAGTATTTTCTATTTCATGCTACATTATACTTACACTCCGCATTATCTCAGAGGGAAATATTGCACTTTTTTATTTTTTTACTCTACTCCATTTGTTTGATACTTTTAGTTACTGGTTATTGTATGACTCAATTCTCCCAAGGTTACTGACCTCAATGAGAAATCACCTGCTGCCATCATGTGGTCTTTTGTACCTTTAACGATATTTATATTGAAACTTGTTTTACACTTCTCTGTATTAGTTCTTCCAATAAACTGGCTTGTGAAGTGTCTCTGACCTCCCGTGTTCCCTGGCTGACCGATCCTCCTGACTGGTTTATGACCTCCATGTCAGAGTTCAGAGCAGAGGCATCCTGCAGCAGCCTGCAGGGCCTGTCTGCTGCTCCTCTTTAGCGGTGCTTTGGGATTTGTGGAATGGGAAGTGTAAAGTTCCTGGACAGGATGTGGAGTCACTGCTGTAGTGTACAGCCCCCCTATACTGACACAGAGCTGGCTTGCGGCTGCACGAGTCCGCATCTGGAGAAGATAGGAAGCTCGTTTTGTCATCTGGATAACTCTCTGGACTCCGTCTGTCTCCCGGTTTATAAGTGCGAGTAGATCTGACCCGGGTAAGTCGGCTAAAACGAGTTTGTAACACTTTTGCTCAGTTTGTCTGTCGCATCATTTGGCCCACACAAGTTAGTCTCACGGCAGTCTTTGTAGTTTTTCTTTTCGCAAAAGCTTTCTTTTAAAATCGCTGTTTTTTATAGATTAATTTCTAGATTCGATTATAGATTAAGACAAAAAATCCAAATGACTTTATCTTAAACTTGTAGTTGTATTGCAGCTGCTGTAAGTCTCTTTTGTTCTATGCAGACAGCCCAGGGGGTTGATGTTAACTTAATAACAGGGTCCTCTTACCCCTGTGTTGTTTTGCCTGCCGAGGCATGCACTGTATGGGTGGAGTGACTGCACTAACCGTTCATATGGGTACATGAATATGGGTTTACAGTCATTTTAACATGCTCTCCATAGACATTTTATGCATTATTAAACTATCTGAGCTGTTTTTCTTTGGCTTAGTAAACACCCCGCCGCCTCTCTCCACACAGACTCAGGTGATGACTCACCTCTGGACTCTCTTGTCAGCCCTGCTGCTGGTTTCATCTGTGGCCGAACCTCTCAACAGCCGTGAGGAAAATGAAAATGAAGTCCTGAAACACACAGAGGGGGAGCTCACTGAGAGCGAGGTGAGTGACCAAACAAACCCTCCACTTTGACATGTTAGATCTGTCCTTGTTGGATGAACTTGCTTGAATGAAACTCCTGGTTTCTCCTGTTTTAGAATCAGGTGACAGAGAATGCCATTGGAAATCTCAGTGAAACTTCACCAAGCCACACACCTACCACACGTGAGGTTTTTTGGCTTTTGCTGCATTTCTCTTTTGACTTCCCTTTCAGTTTCTCCTACAATAACTCTTTTTTCTTTTATATTAGAAGCTTCCTTGACTACCACAGTTTCCGTGAGCTCCAGTCCTGTTCCTCTGTGTACTGGAAACCAGGTGATGCTGGAGAACGGCACAGGCTGTGGATGTCCATCTGGCATGGTGAAGAGTGGAGTCAACTGCACCTGCCCTGTGGGCTTCACCCTGGAGGCAGCTGCAGGGTGTAAAGGTGAGATTCATGGGCGTTTGGTAGCTCACATGGTACAGCTGCTGCCCCATATACCAAAGGCTGAATCCTCCCAGCCTGGGTTTGAGTCTGACCTGTGACCCTTTTCTGCGTGTCTTCCCCTGTCTTTCTCCCCCTTTTCCTATCTGTTTAACTGTCCTGTCACTAAAGGCAAAAAATGAATTTAAAAAAGTTAAATAAGCAACAGAACCAGTGCTTCATTGAAGGTGCTGTGTGTATTTGCATTTTAAACTATTTAGAACCTTATTTCTGCATGAATTCAGCAAGAACACAGCCAAACGAAACACAAAATTCAGTTTCTCCCAATGACAGATGGTGCATTAAGTAAAAGGGCATTATTTTCAACGTGATTATGCTCTACACTAAAACAGAAAATTTCCTTAGTACCAGGACATTCCTGTAAAATGTGATCTACCAAAAGGCTACCATGATACCATGACAATGTTGCATTTGATATTTCAATGTGAAACTAAATATTATCATATTTATTTATATATCACATGTAGCACCTTGGCAGCAGAACCTGTTTTATATGCTCATTTGCATACGTTAATGTCACTTAGATGCAGCGTATTACCTTCTCTCTACTCAACAGATGTTGATGAGTGTGAAGGACAGGGGCCAGGACCATGTGGTCTCCATGCCAGCTGCACTAATACCCCCGGCTCTTACTCATGTAGCTGTCTCCGTGGTTACCTAACAGGCGCTGGAGGGTGCCAGGGTTCGTCAGCATCTGTGTGTGTGAGAGAGGATGTACAGAATGTGTGTGAGAGCATGTTGCAAGGGTGGTTACAGAAATGATTATCCGCACTATTCAGCCTATGTAGTATGGTCATACATGTGTGTCTGTTTACAGATATAGACGAGTGTGCTCTGGCTGCAGTGACGGGCCTGCAGGCCTGTCAGGGTAACGCTGAATGCACAAACACCCCTGGCTCCTTCACCTGCTCGTGCCCTTCAGGATATGTAATGGCTCTAAATGGACAGAGCTGTGTAGGTGAGGCAGATGTTGACATCTGGTGTGTTATGACTGTAGAATATGGATGCATGTACAATGACAAATACATGTTCAAAAGCATTTTATCCAGCATGTATACCTGGAGCAGCTACACTGAGGTAACAGTGAGGGGTGTACGGGTGTTGCTGGTCTCACAAACAACATACCAGTCTACATACAAAAAAGCAACAAAATATAAAACAGCAATCTAGAAACACATTTATGACCGGAGACATGCCTGTCAAATGAAAGCTTCCTATTTATGGTCCTTGGTTTCTGTCCACTGTAGATGTAGATGAGTGCAGCTTCGAGGAGCAGTGTCGCCGTGAGCTGGGAAACGTGTGTGTGAATACTCCCGGCAGCTTTGTGTGCCAGTGCCAACCAGGCTTCAGAGCAGAGGCCCCCGCCTGTGTTGGTAAGTCTGTTGTTGGGCTTCACCACAGCTGGATAAGACTGATGTCTAGATTTTATCTGGTGTTTTGAGTTTCTCATATTTCGCTTGAGTTGCCCCAGACTTAATAACTCCTGCTGACAGGAAGGAAGGCTTTGCAGGAATAGAGAGTTCAAATCTGCTGCTTTGCTGCTTGCCTACTTTGTTATTCTCTGTTGTTGTTTCCCAGCCCCTCTCTCCCCTCTTTCATCTTTCGTTTAATGACTAATTTCCTCTCTTGTCCTTTAAAATATTCCCAATACTCTATTCGCTTTCTCTTTTTCATCATCTCCCTTCCATTTTTTTTGTGACTCTTCTGCACTTCTGGTCTCAGGTCCTGTGTGTCCAGACTACACCGTGTGTCAAGGTATGATGTGCTTTCCGTGCTTAACATGTGCTGCTTGCTTTTTAATGTTTAATGTTCAAGGTAACAACCACATCATAAGCAATATGCTACGGGAAAGTAATGGATGTGAAGTTGGACGAAGATAAATCGAAGATCTGGGAAAACGAAATATTGTCTTAAATGAATACAACAGCTTCCCATAGTGTTGCAGGGGCAACATTTTAACTAACATATGCCTAATAGGGACATGAAATATGAAAGTAACTATGTTGCTTTTTTTTGTTTTTTTCATCGGTAATAAAACATTTCATTGCCAATAATGTCAGAGCAACAATTGAATGAACAAGCTATATTTCTGTCCCAGATGTGGATGAATGTGCGGAGAATCCTGCGGTGTGTGATGGTCAGGGTGTGTGTGAGAACACGCTTGGGAGCTACAAGTGTGTTTGTCGACCAGGTTACCGGGGAAACGGCACGCACTGTGAAGGTAAGCAATTAGTGCTGACGTCCCTCCATGGAAAACTCTGTTTCCTGTAGACGGGGTCAGCCTCCTTGTGTGCGCTTGTTTTAATGCTTGCTGTTATGCCTTCCATTAAAATTATCCCGAGTGGCAGAATAATGTTTGTTGGGTGGAAATGAACGGAGTTTTGTATCTGTGTTTTAAAACATTTGTGTGTGCGCTCTCTTTCCAGATAAGAACGAGTGTGCGTCAGGTGATCACGGGTGTGACACCAACGCTCGCTGTGGCAACATCATTGGCTCGTATTTCTGTCAGTGCTACCAGGGCTTCAATGGAGATGGACACTCATGTTTTGGTGGGTAAGCAGTATGTGTGTTTTGTGTGTGCGTGCCACTAGTGTTGCTCAGTATCACTAAGTGTCCGCCAGTGATGCTTGTGTCAATACCTGTGTGTGCCAGCAGCTCTTGGGCACACAGCGATCACCAGACACCAGTCCTTCAGGATTATCCTTGTTTACAGACATTGATGAGTGTGCTGTGAACAACGGCCACTGTGAACAGAACTGCTCCAATGAACTGGGAGGGTACAGCTGCCGGTGTGCCTCAGGCTACCGGCTGGACCAGGATGGACACAACTGCACAGGTAATACACAGCTCTGGTGTAGAACGTTGAGCCCTTCACACGTATGGCAAACAAGAGTTTATCCTTTCACACATCAAGGGGTTTAAACTATTAAGTAATAAAGACCACTGTGTATAGCATGGTTATGTGATGAAGGTAAAAGTTAACTAATCTTAGCTTAGCTTAGCTTAGCTTAGCTTAGCTTATTGGAAAGACACTGAGGGGAAACAGCTAGTCTGGTTCTGTCCCAAGATAAAACATTTTAATAACATGTTAATTAGTGTGGGGTAACGTGGCAATGCAGTCTAAAACATGGTAACTCACACACCAATGGTGGCGGAGCTGCCATACAAGACGCTGGCCTGGCCACAAGGGAGTTGCTTGTCTTGCTCAAGGGCACTTTGACATGTTTACAGGAGGAGCAGAGGAAGGTTCTGTGATTAGTGGACAACATGATTGTTGAAGACCTACTCTGCCCTGAGTCACAGCCAGTGACTGGGGCTGTAGAAGTGTGATTTTACCCAACTGGGCTATGTGAAGGCACAGTAGTTAAAAACCATCATCAGTTAAAATTACCTTTGAAGCCTGTGAAAGAATTTACACACTCTGCTTCTGCTCACAAAATGAGCTGTAATCCTCAATTTGGACTGAGGTTCCAAGTCATCCTGCAGCTACTCAATAGAAGGCATCAAAGGCATCAAAGTGATTGTCTCTTTTGGCACTTTTAGTCCTCCATACTGGACCAGTTTATCATCCTCAAAAGCCAAGGCCACTTTTGGTCCCTTGATCCAAACAAGCCACCTCTTATTAACTTGTCCTCGGTTGCAAACCCCACTCACCTGGCTCTCCAAGCTTGTTGAAACAAGTGCTAAAATGCATTGCAAATAGTGTTTGACTAAAATCTGAATGGGCCCTTACATGGAGCCGTGTTTTTCGATTATAAAAGAGTCAACTAAGTGTCTCTGATCTCCCAGATGTGGATGAGTGCTTGGCACTGAATAGGACCTGTGAGCACATTTGCGTCAACACTGAGGGATCTTTCCAGTGCTCCTGCAGGCCTGGCTACCAGCTGCACATTGATGACCACACCTGTGTGGGTCAGTTACTCTTTCACTTCTAACTGCTGTTTACCTGCTTATTTCAGTCATTTAAACAGGCTGATTTACCCACATGCTGCAGAGACAAAAACTTCCATGAATATGTTATCTCACTTTCTCATTATGTGTGTGCCTGTTTGTGTGTATGTCTCTTTTCTGCCCGAACGTAAGTGGATGTCCTAAGGGCACATTTTGGTGGATTAGTGAGATGAGAAAGCCAGACTCAGTTAGGAATCTGTTCCACAGCAGAGCTAATGGTGTCCAAAAAAAGATGTTTACTTTGTGTGTGTGTGTGTGTGTGTGTGTGTGTTTGTGCTCAGACATTGATGAATGTAAACTACAGAATGGCGGCTGCTCTCACACCTGCAGCAACTCTCCAGGAGGACACACTTGCCACTGCCCTCCTCCTCTGCTGCTAGACACAGACAACCTCACCTGCAGCAGTACGTGTCTCAACTCACATTATTCTAAGTTGAAAATATATGTATTCTTTATATTCTCTAGAATATAATTTTTGGTTTTGTTTTCCATGATCTCACTGTAGCCCAGATATCAAAGTTAAGGGTCCAAATAAAGCCCTCCTTTAACACAAAAGAGACATTATGACAATCGTCTGTACTTGGGTATACCATCAATTACAGTTGTTCTTATTAGATAATACTAAATAGTAGATAGTTAGTTTAAAAGGCTAAAAACAATAGCGTTAACTAGTCAAATAGTTTAAAAGTTTGGTTGATCATAATTAGGACTGTAGGTAATGATTATTTTCTTTAAAATAGCCATCTTGATTTCCCAAAGTCCATTGTGACGTCTCAAATCTCTTTCTTAACAGATAATTTGGCATTTTGGCTTGAAAATGATAAGTAAACTTTTTCAACTCTTGTTGAAACATTGTTATAGTCTGTAAATACTCAATGTTAAGATCATTTCTTTTTCACCTGAACAGATGTTACATCTTGCAAGCTGAGAAATGGTGGTTGTGATCATATATGTACTGTGAGGGCTGAGGGTCACATCCATTGTAGCTGTCAAGCAGGCTGGAAGTTGGGCGAGGACCTGAGGAGCTGCGTGGGTGAGACTCAGCAAAGTTTTGACCCAGAAATTAAGCAGAATATTTATACATTTCAGTATATTTTGGGATGGCTAATGTTATTCATTTTGAGTTGATATGTATGCAGCAGATTGTGTTGGGATTTTTAAATTTAAATACATTTAAGGTTAAAAAACTTGAATTCCTTCAGACTTCACCATCTGTTGACATACAAAGGTTCCACAAGCATCATTCTGTAAACATTTATTGCTGCAGTCTTTTGGACAAAAAACAATAATGATCTGGAAAGGTTTAAATGGCTGCAATCAACTTCACATCCATTTTGCACTTGCCAGGCTGAAGGTATTCATAAAAAGAAATCACATCAGCTGAAGTGCGGAAATTTGATTGGCTGTTAATGGCTGGTGACTCTGAGCGGTTCAGCTGTGGCCAAGTTTTCTTGGATGATTAGCTGCACACAGCCACATCTACTCAGCCCAAGAGGAAATGAACAGATTGTCTTATAGATTGTTTTGCTGTTTTGAAATGTCTGCCTGTTTAACTGTCACTATCTTTTTGTCATTAGATGTGAACGAATGTGGGGACTTCACAAACGGAGGCTGTGAGCAGCTCTGCCTGAACCATCCTGGTGGGTTTAACTGCTCATGCAAGAAAGGGTATCAAGTACAAACAGACGACCTCACCAAGTGCCAGCGTGAGTCGAACATCAAACAACAGCATTAACAAAAGGAACTGCTAGATTCTGTTTTTTATACAGGGTTAAAAATATGAAACGATGCTTATTGAGTTCTCTACCTTCCCAGCTGTGTGTGACCCTCCCTGTCACAACTATGGCGTGTGTGTGGGCCCAAACAGCTGTGACTGTCCTCCAGGCTACCCCGGACAAGGCTGCTCAGGTGCAAACCTAGACTGTTATACATACATAACATATATGTAATTGTTAATATGGCGGCTATTTGCAATTTAGGTACTTAAACAACTGAATCAAATATTTCTGGACAAATAATTAGTCATCATGACTGACATGCTTTCAGAATATCATGCTTGGTCACAGATGAATAGAAGCACAACATACTACTAGCAACACTGTTGAAATTCTAGTTTATCCATTATGATGTGATCACGAGCAGGGAGATGGTATGGAGACACCATATGTGTAAGGTTCAGTTGTGTACTTTGTGCCAGTTCTTTTGAAAATGACCACAAACGAGACATGTGTCTATCGACACAAATATTACATGTGATATTCATCACATTAGCAGTTAGCTATTAGCAGTTCATGGATGTACTACATAGTGCTAGCGTCCCTCAGACACAATGTTTATGTCATGTTGCAAAATGTTAAGCAAAGCCCTGTAGAAGTTCTATTTAAAGCATGTAGATTTTATTTGTGTCTGTCCTGTTGGATATCATATCTTCCAGGGACTGGGACATGTGTATTTGGTTATAACGGAATGCTGATTAGGAGTCAGTGTTATGGTGTGAATTTGTTGATTGTGTATTTCAGCCATGTGCTCCCCGCCCTGTGCCCATGGGGGTACCTGTATGAGATGGAACAAGTGTCTCTGTCCTCCCGGCTGGACTGGAGCGGGCTGCCACAAAGGTACTTCACTTCTGACACTTTGGACGTTAATGAAGACTGCCCCACTTCTGTCCAAGCAGGCACTGTATAGACATTGTCTATAAACACAGGGGGATCCTGTAGGTGTTATGTTGAATAAAGAAAGTCTGCTAAAAAACACTGTTGCATTAGCAGTTAGAAGATGGTCACATTTTTGTGCCATTTGAGTCTTCCTTTGTGGCACCCACTTCTCTTATGCTATTCATTTTTGAACTTTAGTTTACTGTCTGCATAATTTGTTACTCTTCTATGTATTTACAACAAACCTTATTTAAAACAGCACATTTCTCTTACATGGTAATAGTTGAATTTCTTTTTATATTTAACCATTTCGATTTAGTCTGTCTTGACCTTCATGTCATGTCTCTTTCCCTGTGTCTCTCAGCGGTGTGTGAGTTGCCCTGTGCTAATGGTGGTCGCTGTGTGGGGCCTGATACCTGCCAGTGTCCCTCAGACTACACCGGCCCCCAGTGCCTTTTGCGTGAGTAACAAAACCACATCAAACACCAGGCATGCAAGTACTTCTAAGGGTGGGGGGGACTGCCTTCATGCTTGTTAGCACTGCTTAGTAAAATCTAAAAATAGAAAAACTAAAAAGCAACAGTTTAATCTAAAAGTCGTGATGTTTAACTCGATGTGTCATTTTCTGACACAGACTTACCTCTATCTGTGTGTGTGTGTGTGTGTGTGTGTGTGTGTGTGTGTGTGTGTGTGTGTGTGTCTGCGTGCTTTGCAGCCCTGTGCACTCCTGCGTGTCAAAACGGGGGAAGATGTGCGGACGTCAACAAATGCACATGTATTGGAGGATGGCAAGGAGCTCGTTGCCAGATAGGTGAAACTGCACTCACTATATCTGTATATATCCATTGTTATATAACTGAAATATTACAGTCAGCATTTTACCCCTGTTTAAGTCATGTTTCAATATAGTAAAACCTATAATATAAATTTCAATAACAATCATCAAAGTATAAGTCATGAGAATTGCTACCTACTTCTGCTATTTCATGCAAAACAAAAAAATTCACTTACTTTGGCGAGGTGCTGAATTTTTTCTTGACTTCCAGCACACTTTACACTCCGACGACAGATGTCTTAGCTCCTCACAGGAGATGCTGACTTCCGTTGTGATTTTGAAACAAAATGGGATGAAGGGGGGGAAATTATGGTTTTTAGCTACCTTTTCTTCAACTTGCAGCTTCCTGTAGATTGTTCCTGTGTGTGTGTGTGTGTGTGTGTGTGTGTGTGTGTGTGTGTGTGTGTGTGTGTGTGTGTGTGTGTGTGTGTGTGTGTGTGATAATTAAAGGGCTTAGAAAAAAATTATTTCCTTAATTTTGTAGAAGCCATCTTTGGCTCTTGGAACTTGTGACATACATTTTAAACGTATTTTCTGACATTGTATAGACCAAGTAATTAATTAGTAGTAAAAAAGTACTTAGCAGATTAATCAGTAATGAAAATAGTTGTTGGTTGCAAGCCATTTATTTTAAAGGTTCACAAGCCAAATGAAGTTGCGAACTGCTGCTGAGGGATTTGTAGTTCTCCAGGCAGCCAGTCAGTGGAGCTTTGCACAGATTCCAGAGCAGCACCACATTCTCTAAGTAAATGTTTGCTGATCTTTCTGGAGGCTTCTGAATTTACAGCCTATATAGTAAATGTTGAACACTAAATCTTATTGTGTAGTCAATATTACCATTAATAAGATTCATTCAACATGTTATTAAATTATGTTCCTGTTCAGTTCAAATGAGATCCAACCAACTTTCCCTACCAAAATAACAGTAGTAGATGCTCTGTGAATTTCTGCCATGAACTTTACTGTATGTTTGCTTTTCAGGTGAGTGAGAAGACTATGTTGTAAAGATCAGCTGCACTGAGTTAGATATACTGTTGAGTACATTCCTGTTTTCTTTCTCCCTCAGAGCCTGTTAAGTGTCAGATACCTTGTAAGAACGGTGGAGTGTGTGTGGGCCTCAACAGGTGCCGCTGTGCCAAAGGATTTACAGGAAGTCTCTGTGAAACTGGTTAGTCTGTGTGTGTGCTTGCTAGTGTCCGTGAGACCTTTGCCTTTACTTTGCATTAAGACTCTTGCTCTGATCTGTCTACAGCAGTGACCACCCCCTGTGTGCCGCCCTGCAAACACGGGGCCACCTGCAGTCCTCACAACACTTGCACCTGTCCGGAGGGGACTGCAGGCCTGCGCTGTGAGAGACTGTAAGTGTAAACACCAGCAGCAGCATTATGTTATTATGGTTACTTATATATTCTCATGGATGTTCCGTTTGTGTTTGTGTGTGTCCTAGGACGTGCCCTGTGGTCACCACGGTGGTCAGTATGGCTCGAGCCGTAAGAAAGGCATTTAGGGAGAGTTATGTTGACCGCTGTGGACCCCTGGGAGTTCAGCTTTGCACTAAATACAGGTTTTTGTTTTCTTCTTACATCCTCTACATCTGGATTAAGTTGTTATTGTTATCTGTTTGGAGTCAAAGAAGGATGGAGTTTTTTTTTGTCTGTTTTTTTTTTGGGCTTTTATGATAGAGACAGCTGAAGATAGACAGGAAAGGAGGATAGAGAGAGGGGATGACATGCAGCAAAGGGCCGCAGGTCGGATTCGAACCCTGGGCCACTGCAGCAAGGACTCAGCGTCAGTACATGGGTTGCCAGTTCTACCCACTGAGCTAACCGGGCACTGAAGGATGGAGTTTTATCACAGAACTGTTTAGTGTCAGTCATAACAAATTGACTTCCAGACCTGTCATTACTTAAATAGTTACCTAATTAAAAGTGTTATTTAAGGTCATGATAGAACACAATGACATAGGCAAGAAATTAGATGTGTCTTACAGTAGCATTTGTGAACAATAATTAACATATATTAACATAAAGGTTAAGTTAGATCAGAGTTTAATTATAATTACTATAATAAGCTGTGTCTGCTTTGTGGTTGTGTTTTCAGGATGAACCAGGCACGTGTGTACCTGCAGGCCTACAGGGTCGGCTACAAAATCCAGTGTCCAGAGAGGAAGGGGCGATGAACGATGTTGTGCATGCATGCTCCTTATCATTCGGAAACACCACCCAACAGAAAACACACACAAGAAGTGAAATGAGACAAGCTGTAAAATTAAATGTAACTGAGTAAGTGAGAAGGTGTTGCAGTTTCCTTAAATGAAGACTCTCTGTTGAAATAAAAAAGGGGTGACTGTATCATAAAGGCTGTTTATTTTCGGACATATGTTGAGACTTCTCTTTAAATAGAAATATTCCTTTCTATGTGAAATGTGCAATGGTTTCATTATTTGTCGTGTGTGTATGGCAGCTGAAAGTTATTAAATGTTAATTTTCTTGTCTTTTTACAAAATTGTGTCAATATTGTGAACATTTTTTTACAGTCTCTTGTCAGTGTACGGTCCTACTCAAAGAGTTCACTTCAAGGAATCGTCCCAATAAAGAAAAACTGTCTCACAAACTCACACAAACTTTTAGAGAAAGATTATTTGGGTTTTGAACTAGAATTACTGTGTGAATGACCAGACAGGACCACCTCTAACAAAGATTATGTAATAATCTAACAGCAAAACTGAACTGCTGAATCAGAACTGCTTCAGCTTATTAGTAACATAATAGTGACTGTATATCTTATTCTTATCGCCGTACAATACTGACATCTGCCCTCTTTTCTAGGTTTTTTTCATGACCTTGTTTAAATGGCATTCCTGTTAAACTTTAATGAGCATATAAAAGGCCTCTACATGACATACTTTGACCTCCTTCAGGGTTTAGATGAACATATTTTTAGAAAAACACAGACCATATCTATGTACAGCCCTGCTGTATCAGTAGGTATCTCTGACAATACAGTTAGCCATCACTAACTTCCTGTTTGTTTTTTATCAGTTTAAAGTTATTCTATTGAAGATCATTTTAACACTGAATATATAAGACATTAGATGCACATTGCCATTTTTTTCAAATATCTATACAGTATCCTAAAATATATTTTAGGAAATCACACATCATTTAATGAGTCTCATGGATAATATAAAATAAATATTGACTGGGTCTTGTGTTCCAAAATCCAAAATGTAACATCACACACATAGCTGAGATGTATCACACTTTTATTAAAGACAGTAACAGAAATCTTGGAATAATGGAGGTTCGACAGCAGTAGCCTGAAATTCACAAGAGGCTTCATTACTATTGGATTCATGCAATGAGAATTTCTTATCATCATAATTTTTTATCATGACACAACAATAATTTGAATCCCATTTGGAAAGATCACACAATTAAACAAAACAAAACAAAAAGTGGAAAGAAACTAACTTTTTCACAGTTTTGAAGCCTCACAGAGATATCACTAGTGGAGCCTATGTAATGGGGTCTTTCCTTAAAACCAAAGATTAATTTTTATATAAACCCTGAAACATAATCATAAGTGGGGGCAAGAGGGGGAAAAAATGCCTGTTAACGTGAGGTTGCACAGATTTCATATTTATTCGGTGCCAAAGTGACGCCAAAGCGGAAGTCCAATATAGGCTTCTTCCCAGCAGGCATGGCGAAGGTGAAGTGCTGCATGAAGGACGTGAAGAAGAGGAAAAGCTCCATCTTGGCCAGGTTCTCCCCGAGACACAGCCGCTTGCCTGAGACAAGAAAACAATCTGAAACAAACATTTCTTTGACACAAAGTTTTGGCCCGGAGGTCAAAAGATAATTTAAGATAACAGTTGTAGTGATTCTTTTCCTAATCCTAATTTTAGGGCTCGACAAAAGGTCAGAGGTTCACTCCAATCATTTGTCAGACATTGCCCTTGTTAGGGTCTGCTGGTGTCCACTAGTAGGGAAAAAGCAATGAGGAACATTCCACTCCTGATCTTTTTAACTCCTCCCTCCTACTGTGGACCTGCTTGATGCAGGAAAAATGACCATGTCAGCCAACAAAATTTACCAGCGTGGCCTGAACATCTCAGGAGTCTTTGATAAGAAATGCTGACTGTGATAATACTTCCAATCAATTATTACTAGTATGTCAGTAACGTGATGAGTGACAGGTGTCCTTCACAATAAGGACATAGTTATAATCCCTGGCTTTGTCTTCTTGACTCTGAGGACCACCTGCCCAGTGTATGCTGGGACAGGCAGGCTCCTGTATAAACAGGTAAAGACACAAATAAAAATGATTGTTTTGCTCCTTACCAGCAGAGAAGGGGATGAAAGCAGCTCGCTTTACAAACTTGCCCTCCTTGTCCAGAAAATGTCCTGGGTTGAAGGTATAGGGTGTCTCCCACTCATTCTTGTCAAACAGCACCGAAGTCAGATTGGGAATTATTGTTATTCCCTGATGATTGGAATAACAATTGGAATTCATAAAGACGCAATATGGTATGGTAACAAGTGTATGTGACATAAGAATATATACAAGAATTGACCTTTTGGATTGTGTAGCCTGCCAGCTGCATTTCTTTGCTGGTAATATGAGGCAGGCTAAGAGGAGCTATGTTTCCTATCCTCTGGATCTCGTGGAGGACAGCGTCAGTGTAGGGCAGTTTGGCACGATCTTCCATGGACAGCTGTCTGGACTGTCCAATCATTCTGTCTATCTCAGCCTGGACCTTTTCTGAGTGACAGGAGGAGAACAGACAAACATAGACACAGTAATTCATCAACAGGCTCCCACAGCACATCTTAAAGGATGATGGAGAGATGGAGCATAACGTAGCACTGCCACCTTAGTGAACAGACAGATTAATGATTGTGTTGATTTGCAACCTTGAACCTCATAAATATGAAGGACACTGGTTATTGCACAAAAATATGTCGATTGGTTTGAACCTGAAACACAGGTGACGATTTTTATTACAAAATTGCCACCAATAAATGGGTTCGGTGTCACCCATTTTCACACATTACTTAGTAATAACAAAGAGCTTCTCCAACTTGGTCAGTGCCCCTACCCTGGATCTCAGGGTACTTTGCCATGTAGAGGAAAGCCCAGCGCAGGGTGGTGGATGTGGTCTCAGAGCCAGCCACGAACAGATCAATGACACACATAATCAGGTTTTCTTCATCAAACGAACTGTCAGCCTGCCCCTTAGTCTGAGGATATATACAAATACATGTGTTAATGCATTCTGCAAAATAACAATGACAATGCATGTACCGGTTAACACTTTTACAGCCAAGGTCATAATCTTTCAAACCTTATTTACTTAAAAAGCTCTCAATCTGTACTGGACGTTGTACCTGTTTTTTTTAAATACTTTGCTTTGTCTGATTGAAGTGGGTGTATGCTGTTGGTGATAAGGAATCGAAAGATAGCACTGTAAGGCAGAGGTCATGGCAAAAGGGCACATTTGGTCTTTACACTTGTCCAGCCAGGAGTGGGGGCCATGATTAAAGACACATGAGTACAAGACACTAACAGCTGAGAATACTGATGCAGGTGCAAAACAGGCAGATGTTCACAGGAAATGAGCACTGAGCATCTTCATGAGTAGCACAGCAATACAAAGCTGCATCTAATGTGAGTCACCTTCTCAATCTCACTCAGGTAGCAGTCGATGTAGTCTCTTGGGTCGGATGCATCCCAGTTTTTTTTGTGGTCTTTAAGTTCTGCTCTTACAAAGTCCTTTGTATCTCTCCAGATCTGCTTTACTGTCTGATGTGGCCCTGGCAGACACTTCATCAGCAGAGGGAATGAGTTGTAAAGCTGGAGAGTAGAACAGGTTGGAAGAGTAACGTGTTAATAAGGCATTTGTGACAATCAGTATCAGTACTGAAATCCCATTTACAAATTGGCTCTCGTGCAGCTTACACTTTTTCACATTTATGTGAGTGGGCTGTAGATGGTTTCAAAATGAGGATGTATTGCACAACAATGGTACAGAATTAAGATTTCAATCAATCACCTGTGACCAGACAGAGGCTTCAATCTGAAGAGATTGCTCAAACCACGCCATTAGTTTCTTGAACTTCTCATTGCTGTATTCAAAGCGATGACCAAAAACCAGGGAGCAGATGATGTTGCTGACAACGTTGTTAATGATGAGGTGTGGAGCGAATGGCTTACCTCCACAATCAAACAGAAAAGAGATGTAAATTGTGTATTTGTGATGATTTGTGTATGTGTGTATCATTTAAATGTGTCACTGTATACTCAGTATTTACCCTGAAAGCCATCGATTTCTTTTGCACAGTGTCTGAATTCATCCAAGATGATAGGTTCAAGTGACTTCTTGCCAAATCCAAAATATCTGAGGGTTGAAAGTGCAAAACGTCTCTGCTGCTTCCAAAGGTTCCCATTACTGAAAATCACACCTGATAGGAAATATGTGAAAAGTACATAGATATCAGGAAAATCAAGGAATAATCTTTTACACATTAAATAAAGACAGTTCACGTTCTACAACACCTTTTTCGTTTCATTCAGCCCCCTATACAATAAAAAGAGAACAGTGCTTTTATTTCATAATGAATGGTCAAAATATTAACTAACTGTAACTGCTAAAAAACAACTATATACAATATATTTGTTATTCTTTATGAAGTATACTAACAGAAAACTGATAGAATCTCTAAATTTCTGTAATTAATTCTATAGAAATCATACAGGAGGGGATTTAGACCAAAAGAAGCAGGCAAAAGGCATCATGAGAATTTGGCAAAACCAAGATGCAGATTGTGCTGATGGGGAAACCAATGGGGAAAAATGTGATGAATTTACAATATGACATAGTGTACGTAACTTCAAACACGCCATGCTCATGAAATGGGTGTAAAACATAACCTTTTAACTTCTTCAGAAGATTGAACAAACCACAGTGTTTTCACTCCTTCCTGTGTGAGTATCACAGGAGTCACAATAGCTTTGTGTCTCTGTGTGTGTTACATCCACTCACCTAGTCCATGGGATATTTCCTGCTGCAGAGGGGAATCTGGGCGGTCAACCAGACTGTCTCCCTGATTTACCAGAGCTTCTTTCAGAACATCAAACCTGTTTAACACCACCATCCACACCTGGCCCATTCGCAGGCTGAACACATCTCCATATGTCTCTGCTAACTGTGAGTGGATTTGATAAAAGAGGAAGAACATGATGTTTCATATAACAGATAATAGAAAGATGAGTCCTATCAAACCTGGTGTATTTCTATTGGTACATTTCATTTTTGCCATCTGTTGATCTACCTGTGTCAGACTCTCGTGGGTCCTGCTGTAGTTCACAGAGAACATGTTGCCCACAATAGGTAAAGGAAATGGTCCCGGAGGGAAGCTGGCCGACCGACGGTTCTTAATATAATCTGCAGTTAGGAGGAAAACTGCCGCAAAGAGCAGTAGACCTCTGATATCCCAATCCACATAGGAGCCAATAACAGAAAAGAATGAATCCATCCTGTGAACAAGGGCTCAAGCCTGTGTTCTCCTGTGAGACTGTTATGTAACCAGGAGCACTCTTCTCTCTCCTGTGAGGGAGAAGCTTGATATCATTGGTTGTATTGGACTCTGACCTCTTTATACATGGATATCAGGAAATAACACTGTCCACCAGTGACCACCAGGGTTGGATCATATAACTTATTTGTAGTGAGGTACTAAATAGAAAAAAACGAAAACAATATCTAATCATCTAGACTACATGGCCAAAAGAACACAGACATTACACCCATGTGAGATTGTTTCACTCATCTAACTCTACAACTCTGACCATTAATATGGTTCTGTTACAGCCTCCGCTCTTTGGGGAAGGCTTTCCACAATATTTTGGAACCTGGCTGCAGGGACTCTCTCCAGTGTAGCCACAAGATCATCAGTGTCAGGGACTAATGCTGTGTGATAAGGCCTGGCTCACAGCTTGTGTTCCAGCTCATCAAAAGATGTTTGGCAGGGGTGAAATAGGAGCTCTGTGCAGGGCATTCAAGTTATTTCACCAGACTGGGAAAAAAATGATTGACCTTAATGGTATATTGAAGCAGGAAAGGAGCCCGAGCACCAAATCGCCACTACAAAGTTAGATTAAGTGTATAATAAAAATTTATATTAAGTCTAACTAGAAGGATTAAGTCCAAACCATAAAAACATCTGCAGATCCAAAATCAAAAACAACACTACATTATGGACTTCACGTTATTTTGGACGACTGGTGTAGTACTACTTTTCAACACGTGATGGAGGTGTAGTGTTTCATAATTTTGTCCGAGGGGAAGTACACAAATCACAATTTTGTCTGCTTGACGACTCTGGCTTCAAAATAAAATAAATTTGTCGCGTAATTAAAAATCAACAACAATTTTTGTGTGAAAAACTGCTACTACTGGATCAGTAGATAGTTAAATAGTAGGGTATTTGTTTATCTAGCTATCAAAACCTGTAGCCTTTTTTGCATTTTGAAGACTGAATCAAATGGTTACATCTGAGGTTGTAAGGTTTGGTGAACGGGAGGTTTATTGTGAAAGTCTGATGACCGGATACGTTGTGGTCGGTTGTCGCTGACTTGTCCGCTGTGCTCGTGTGACCTGCTGTGTCCTCCAACAGTCGCGATTTGACAGCCGGTCGTTTGAGGACAAGAGCTCCAAAAATCATGGTTTTCGAGGAGAAGATGATCATGAACGGAGAGCCCGATGATGTTAGTAGCTTTTACAGATTTAACACAACGCTGCTACGACAGTGACGCTCGGTTACATTAGCCAGCAAGCTAACAAAACACGGCTAACTGAGCTACAATCCTCACCTAGCCTAACGTTAGCATTAGCAAACGTTATAAGGTGACGTCCAGAAACATGTTGGAGCTCATTCATGGTGTTGAATCAAAGTTACAGACTAGTTCGTCGGTGGTGAAGTTTGCATGCTGAATATTGAATGTGTTATTTATAGCAAAAGGCTCGCTAACAAGCTAACGACTGTCTGTGGATGATGTCATTGATTTGGTCGTGAATGTCTTGTTTCAGGAGGAGGAAGAAGAGGAGGAGGAGGAAGAGGAAGATATGGTGGTATGTGCATTGAAGACACACTTTAAAATTATAATAAATATGTTAACTGCGCCTCTTTATTACTGTGAGAATACACGTTTGTTCACGATATATATTTGATATATTTATGTATCAGATTTCGAAGAAGAAAAAAACCAACAACATTAAACTGTAAAACATGACAAACATACGAGTGTGTGAAGAAAAAGGTGTATAAGCTGTGGAACAATATTTAGACCTTCTATCTCACCCACTACATGACCGACAATAACCAGACGTGGGGTCATTTGAGGCCTTCTCCATTTACCCCCCCCAGGAACCTTATGTTTTAAATACATGAGAGATATTTTTTCCTGTTCAGTGTAAATGAATCAAACATGTCATTGTTCCCACATTTCCACTGATTCCAAACCTCTTAGACGGCTAAAGTATTAAACCTGGAAGAAAAGGTTAGAGTTTAGGGAGTTCTGAATCCTCTGAATCCCAGAACACACTCATACACTCTGGTACCAGTTTCCTCGTGGTCACTTTGGATGGCTGTAGTTTGTGGTGCTTGTGTTTAGATTTTTCCAATATTAGGTTTACTCTGGTTGGTACTAATAGGGCAACTGAGCGTAGTACTGATCATCTGTATATATTCTGTTTCAGGATCCAATCGACGCGATGCGACAGAAGTGTGAAGAGGCGGAGCATTGTGTTCACACTCGGAAGCTTCTGGAGCAGTGCGAGACCAGAGTTGGCTCTCGGTCTTCCACGGCTGAGGATTGTACTGAGGAGCTGTTTGACTTCTTGCATGCTCGGGACCACTGTGTAAGTGTGACAGCTGCCAATTGTACGGTTGATAATGATTTATAGTATCAGGACGGACCTTTCAGGACTGTGTTCTTGTATCAATTAAATGACAAAAAATTTCACAAAACATTTACAAGTAAGGTTTCACTCCTCACAGCTGACCTTTCATACAGGTACAGCAGCAAGCACATTTTTCTCTAGTTACCAAAAGGTTTTATTTGTTGGAAATACAAGCTACTTCATCCATTTCTACTGTCCCTTTTAATCATCAGTATATCCTTACAGTACGGATTGGTTCAATTGGTCAGTGTCTGCATTAATACACCACAATTGAATGTGTTTAGATGACAGAAAATACACTGTTAACACAAGCTTTACTTTAAAAAATGAAAAGATGTAGATCAAATGAAAGGATCTTAATCAGTTTACATTTAAATTAATGCCTTGCGGAACACCAGATTCTTTATTTTTCACTAAATCTACTCAAAATTCAACAGGTTGCCATTTGTGCTCTTATACTGCCATCTATTGGGCACTAAGGCGAACACACATTAAATGAATATGTCAAGTATGATATTGTATATTTATATTTATAAGTAACCAGTAACCTACATAAGTGCAGATGTTAATAATGTCACCGTAAGTCAATATTATTTTATAAGCCCAACTCAATCAATACTTTCTTAACCTCAATTAATACAAGGTAGGTTGAGTGGGTAACTTGTCTCTTACAAATGATTGCATGTAGGGTTTCTCCTCAGTTGGGCAGTACCCAGTTGTAAACGCCTCAAGACGTTCAAAATGGATTTGCTAAGATGTTTTTTCTGTCGTCTTAAAGCGTACAAAAACGTCAGAGTGAGGAAGGAAGTCAGTGAACGTGACTAAATGTAACATACAACATACAAACTTTAATATATTCCCTTGTCGGTGAACAAGTTCTGCCTGAGTTTCGTTTGGTCGATTTTTATCAGCAGTGGTGGTTGTTTAACAATGAAGACAACAAATCCCATGATCCCACACTACTTCATGATGTCATAAAACTACGTCTCTTGTTATTGTTTTGATGTGAGAGACCCCTTGCACAATTCCACACTGCATTTAAGTGATGTCAAAAGGTTTTTCATAGCAAAACGATTTGGGGCTCTTTAGTTTACCTTCCTATGCACTGTATGAAGGATGTGTGCATTAACAAACTTCCTCTCATATTCTCTCTAGGTGGCACACAAACTGTTCCATTCGGTCAAATGAAGTCCTCCCTGGTTGTTGCACTGCTGGCTGATGACATTCTTGAAATATTGTGTTATGAGGAGAAAATTGTTTTAAATACATCCATATGTGGATCTGCTGTCTGTTGTAACTTTAAATGTATACTATACTGTATCTGCTTATGTGAAGAAATAACAGTATTTAACAAGGTAGTCTGAGTCAACATTTCATTAAAGTGGATGGCTTGAAAACCTTCCCTTGTGTCACAAGTTCATTTATGATTATAAATCCAATAAAAGTTTGTAAATGATTCTTATGAAGTTAAACCTTTGATGCCTGTAGAGCAGTGGTTCCTACACAGTGACAACCAGCAATATACAACTATACAAAAGGTTATGAATGAGGGCTCGCAGTAGTTCATCTGGTAGAGCGTGTGCCCCATGTACTGTAATGGCAATTTTTAAGAACCTATACAACCCTTTGACCTGGTCATTGTAAACCATACACAACTATTAAAGAGGCTATTATAGCTACACTATGTCAAAGTAAACAGCGGGATCTGGAGACTTCACTAAAAAGTATTAGAAGTACTATGCTTTCTAATATATTCTCCACTTTCCATCTGAATATAAGAAGTCTTCCTTGCAACTATGACAAATTTATTCATTATTTATCTTCACTCAAACATAATTTCTCTGTTATTGCCTTATCTGAAACATGGCTTACAGAAGATTCTAGAGAAATAACACTAACCCTAACCCTGTCCAAGATTTTAATGAAAGTCTGTCCAATTCTCTTGATTTAATATAAACCTCTTTAAAAATAATTTAGATACATTAATTATGGATTTTCTTAATATTCTTTATTCTAGTTACTTTTTTCCCACTTGTTCATAAATCTACAAGAGTAAAGGAAAATTCAGCAACTTTGATAACATCTTAACAGACAAATTGAGTGAAGGCATGAAATCTGGGGTTTTGGATCTGGATTTGTCAGATCATTTTCCTATATTCCAGTACTCGTTAACAGAAAATATGTCTCAAATCCTACACCCCTTACCAATGGTGTTTATAAATCTTATAGAAATAAATATACTCATTCCATTAGATCTGCAAAAAAGAAATAGTTCTCTGAAAAATTTAAAGTGTTCAAATTATACTAAAACCACATGGAAAGTTATAAATCAGTTGCTGCATAGAGAAAAAAAGACTCACCCAGAGTTACCTTCAATCTGTTTAGATAGTGACAATTCTTTTTTTTGTTAACATTGGTTATGAATTAGCTAGTAAAGTTCCTCCTAGTTTTGGTAATCCACTGGATTTCATTTCAGGAAATTATCCTTCTATCTCTTCTTTTAAGCCTCCTGATGTCCAAGAAATAAGTGACATTATTGATGAACTAAAAACATCTTCAGCTGGCCATGATGACATTTCTGCAACCCTAGTTAAACAGGTCAAGCAGTCAATTTTGCAGCCACTAGGTTACATTATTTCTCTGTCTATGGCAACAGGCGTTGTACCAGAGGATTTAAAAGTTCCCAAAGTTATTCCTCTATTTAAAGCGGTTGATCCGTGTTGTTTTAATAAGTATAGACCCATATCTATTTTGCCATGTTTCTCAAAAATATTAGAAAAAATCATATACAAAAGGATCCTTTCTCATGTAGATTGTAATTCAATTCTTTACAAACATCCATATGGTTTTCGGAAAAATCACTCCACTTATATGCCTTTGCATCATTTGATTGACAAAGTTACCTCTGCATTAGAAAATAATGAATTTATTTGTAGTATATTCATAGATTTTTCAAAAGCTTTTGATACAGTTAACCATCATATTTTACTGAAAAAACTGCATAAATGTGGTTTTCATGATGTTACATTTGAATGGTTAAAAAACTATGTCTCAAATAGAAGACAGTTTTTTTGTATTAATGGATGCTATTCCAACAAAGCTAAACTACTTTGTGGGGTCCCCCAGGGATCCATTCTTGGACCATTATTATTTCTTATTTACTTAATGATTTATCAAATGTCTCAAATATTCTTTCTCCAATAATGTTTGCAGATGATACAACACTTGATACAAACTCAAGTTTATTCTCACTCAAATTTCAATTCTCTGATTAAAACTTTTAATGTTGGTTTAACTAGATATGCTACATGGTTCAGTTTAAATAAGTTATTTCTGAATATAAAAAAATCTAACTATATAATATTTTGTGGCAAAAAATCACACTAAGGATTTTTGTAAAGTTATAATTCAGTCTGCTGAGTTGCCTCAAGTCTCAACAACAAGAGTCCTGGGAATCTTTGTTGATGAGAGTTTGAATTGGAAAGCACAAATACACTGGTTTAGTAAAAAAAATTTAAAAAAATCTATCGGTATAATTAGGAGGATTAGTAATCTTGTTACCACAAACTGTCTTCTTACACTTTATTGCAGTTTAATTTATCCATGTCTTTCATATTGTAATATAGTTTGGGCGAGCACCTTTCCTACTTCACTCCAAAGAATTTTGGTTCTTTAGAAACGTTTTGTTAGGATGGCAACCCGATCTGAGTCACATGTCTCATCTGTACCTCTTTTTCAGAAACTCCAGATTCTTACTGTTCATGACATCAATATCTCTAAAATATGTGTTTTTATTTATAAGGTATGTTCAGATCATGAAAACTTTCCAGAGCACTTTAAGACTTATTTTAAAATTAATTCTCAGGTTCACTCTTATCCAACGCGACAATCTTTAGATCTTCATCCCCCAAGATTTTTTACGTGCAGAGGTCAATTTACTATTAAATTTAGGGGTACCAAATTATGAAATACCTTTTCCCATCTGGCAAAAAAACTCCATCTCTATAAAATGTTTCAAAAAATGTCTAAAAGCCCATTTAACTGCTGTCTTAAAATTCTAATTCACACACAAACACACTTTTATATCATGTTCATATTTTTGTTTTCATATTGTTATTTTGTTGTCATTAGAAATTGTTGTTGATGTTATATATTCTTTTTCTCTATTGTCAGTTTGTTATGACTTTATGTAGTTATTACTCATTTGGTAGCACTGGCGCCCTCTACCTTGCACACGTGTATTGCTTTTATTGCTCTGCTACAGTGAGCTATTCGGTAGTCAGGCGGTGTGAGCAAACAGGCTCCAAGTGTAGTTCGAGTTGAACCAGCTCCATCATGAATATGTAACCACACGTCCTAAAGGCGACTGGCTCTTTACTTAAAACGTCTGACAGACTCACGAACTAGTCCCACTCGTTTCCTGACAAACAGTCTGTTGTTAGCCTGAGCTAGCCGACGTTTATCCTTGTGCTAAAGAGGTTTGGGTGGGGGAACCATGGACAACGTGAAACACTTTCTTCAGGGAGTGGAGCTTGACAACCGGACCGCGGCGCTGGTGACGGGTGCAGCCTGCGGTGTGGGAGCTCTGGTGGTGCTGGTGCGGAAGGTCAGCAGCCACCAAGAGGCGAAGGACAAGATCCGGAGAGCCAGGACCCGGAGGACTGAGAGCCTGCAGCGGGCTGAGCAGGCTGTCCTCCAGTACAAGGAGTCGGTGAGAAGCTTGGAGGGAAAGTTAAAACACACTTCCTTGGTTTGGTTTTTAATTCAGGCTAATGTATGCTCGGTTTGTAGATGAATTAATTACTACCATTGTTTGTCGCAAACACGCTTCTGTCAGTCGTTTTCACACATTTTGACCTGTAATAGCAGAAAGGGCACCGATCAGTGCTGCTTTGAATACAATAGGGGGTGCAGCAAGATCAAGACTGTACAATATAGATTAGATTAGATTAGATTAGATTAGATTAGATTAGAGATTCCGCACTGGAAATTTGTCTTTGGCGTCTCCCAAACTACAGCAAAGGTACATACACACAATGCACACAACACAGCACACCATTAACAATACAAATATACACAATGCAAATGAGCAAAGCAGCAAAGAAGTTCTGTAAATAATACTAGAGACAGACTTGCATGTTTGACAAGTGATAATGTTAGAGGGAAACAGGTGCATTTAAACGTCATGTCAAATTACAGGTGGAGTTTGTGCTCTGTAGTATCACCAAAAACTTGTTAAAGTCTTATTCTACTGTCAGGAGTACATAGTATATAAAATAAAACATTTTAATGTTATCATGTATACTGAAGGCTTTGGTTATTATAGGGGTTTTGATGGAGTCAGAATGCATGAAACAGAAACCATTTTATTGTGCAATGTAGTAAAAGCAGAAACTTGAAAAAAAAAAATACATGTCAATAACTCTTCCCCTTTTCAAAATAAATTATGTTAAAGTAGTTGTATAAACAATATAAACTGACATGAAATGCTCAAAATATTTAAGTATGAAAAGAGATATTACTCAAATGTTCTATTGCACAATTCATTCATTCATTGATTCATTCATGGAAAATCATTCTCCATCTGTCTTTGGGTGCAAATTTGTGGTGATGTGTGTTCATTTTGTGACGCTCTGAACCATCCAGACATTTTCTGATGTTACACCCACTACTAGTCACTAGCATAAGGAATGACAAGCAAGGAGCTAAAGATTAAACAGATTTTATTGCAGCCATGATAGAATCTTGCAAATACCATTATGAGCACTAGGAAGAGTCAGAGAAAGTGTCTAATATACTACTGTCACGAGGAACAGTTTAAACAAATATGACAAAAAGTAATTTTTATAAACGTTATCTACTGCAGCATTAATGTCACACCTTAAGACTGCCCTGACTGCCTGACTGTGAATGACCTGAGTACAGTCAATCATTAAGTGGGGGAAGCAAATACACAAAACAAACAAAGAAAAAGAAAAATACAAGAAAAGAAAAGATAAGTAGTATGCCGCATATCTTTTTGCATACTTGCAGCTCACTGTTCATGGCAGACTAAAAAAAGAATAAACCAACCAGAATAGTCCCACAGCAGAGCAGCTAATGGACCATTGATGCTCTGCAGGGAAACAACAATCTTAAAACCACTTTCTTAAACAAATATTAAAATACATACTGATGATGTGTTGAAAAACAACTTCAATGTACCTTGTAGATTGATCAACTGACTACCAGCTGTCTTCAACACATATATATTTAGAAATATTGGACAAACTATTATACATCTGTTGCTACTTTGGCCCTTAGAAAATAGATGATTTTTGCATTTGTTGCTATGCCATACTATATGTGTGTGTGTGTGTGTGTGTGTGTGTGTGTGTGTGTGTGTGTGTGTGTGTGTGTGT